ACGCCCCAGCTCATGTGCCACGATACCTCCAGCAGCCTTTTCCCACTGGGTTCGGCTTCTGTCCAGGACCGTGTGAGGTACCCCTAGGACAGTCACCGCCACTGACCGGTACAACTCATGAGTGGAACCTATTTGACTTCGAGATCAATCATGTCTATGGACCCACTCCGCCTGAAATGACGAAAGATGTCGGACCCCCAGTGACAACATATATACCAGCTGCCTGTGACATTCCGTTGGATCGTAGAAGTTCCGCGCTGGCTTTCTCAGATCCAGTGCTATCGACAGATTCCGTGAGAACAATTCCGTGTCCTGCAGGGCCAAATCACCTAGACCCTATTCCTCCTGATATGCGAGGAGATGATCTACCGGGTAAGCTGACACAACACATTGAAATTCGGCCATCATCCTCTCATTATCTGACTTTTTTTTATTGTAGACGCTGTTCCTGATACACAAGAAATGGAGACTTCTCAACTCTCTTGCACACCCTGTGTGACCCCATCCGTGCCTGCACCCGAACAAGCGAACTGTGTCTCTAGCAACCTGTCTGTGGTGGGTGATTTTCAGCAAGAATTAGCCAAGCGGAAGTTATCTACCATAGAGCTCTCAGACAGTTCAGACAGTGGGGACTACGAAAATGATTCGGAGCCGAGTCAGACATCTAACCTAGGTGAAAATCCATGCTCAAGGGCAAACAAGGCTTCTGAGCGGGCTGAAGATCCCAGCACTGCTGAAGACACATCAGCCACATCTAGGCCTTCCTCTCCGCCGACGGCTCGCTCTACATCAACATGTCCTCGAGCTCGAACGACACTGAGTTCCAAACCCCCGATACACTACCCGTCGATAGCTGTGGTTATACCGTCAACGTCTTGGAAACAAGGAGCCGCTAGGACAAGCACAAGGGCCGCTGCGGCAGTATGCAAGAAGCGACTCCGCTCAGGTCGAGGCACCAGCATCCACCAAGACGAGAAGACCACGTATGACACAGCACAGCCGTGTCAAAAGAGGAAGAAAAGGAGACCTTCAATCAGGCCACTTTCCGACCCTTCGGAATCTTCCGTTCCTATTTCATCTCATTGCTCTGGTGCTATCCAGGGTATACGTGGGAGTGCTATCCTCACGCTTGAATCTAATACTGGTCTAAAACCGGCATATTTCTTTACTTTCGTACCCGACCCTAGCCCGATGCTGCCTCGAGCCCACACGGCGGTTATCCCAGGGAAACACACATACACGTCGGACGAGAATGCGCTGCTCGTGCGGCTAAAGGAAAAAGAGGCAATGTCATGGTCTGAGATTACGACTCACTTCCCAGGCCGAAATATGTCATCCCTTCAAGTCCACTATTCAACCAAATTACGCCGCAAGGCCAGCTCTCGGTCTGGAAAACCGAGGAGACGCGAATGAGAGAGGCTTTACTGTCGGGATATTTCTTGGTTCGCGCCTGTCGACCTTTGGCTGTATACAACATCCTCCGTAGCCATCTGTTTCAATATAAGCATTAAGTGCAGCTTTGTGTACTCTGTAAACGGCGGACCTGTGAATTACTCTATCGGGTTAGTTTTGCCTCTTTGGGTTTAGCGCCCCAATACGCTGTCCCGTAAGCTCCAATGCCCTCCGATGTAAATGATCCGTCTTCGCTGCTCCCTTTCTCTCACTTTTTCATTCTTCCTACCTCTCTATCTTGCACCCATCGCCGCCCCCTTTCTTTTACTCTGGCCCCCACCGACTACTGCACATTTGCTTTCAGCCTGACCTGCCCCTTTCATTTTTACCGGAGATGCCGCTTGATCCGACATCTAACTTGCAATGCCTGTCACCCAGAAGCGTAACCACTGGGATGATACAGCATCATGTTCTTTCGTGTCGATGATCCTACTCCTTCCCTAGGGCACTGAATGAGCACCATGCTACGAAGATATCTAGGTCTCCCTCTGCCAGTGCGCCTTTTTCGTCTCTGATTCCGCGGGCCTCCCTTAAAATCTGTAAAATGCCGGTATGCCCTCGACGCTGCATATACCTCTCCCACCGCCCCACCTGAGGTTGCATTGCACAGCCCTGGCCATAGAATGAGTCTTGGTTACCTGGCCAAACGTCCAGCTGTCGTCATAGTCGGTCTCTCCGGTCCCTCTCCACCCAGTCGGTGAAAACTCGAAATCACAGTTCGGTCATATGGCTCAATGACAAAAATGCCGCACGCGCCCTGGACCTTGATGAGCATAACGACTAGAATCGCCTGGTCCACCAAATGCTGGTCGACCCATCCTACCCATATATTATTGGCTAGCGTAGTCTAAGGTATTGCGTCATTTCTCGCCACAAAGAAGCCGCATGCTAACGCTACAGGTTTGTTTAGTACTGAAGTGGTTCATCTCTGTGCTTTCACGTAGTTTATCTGCAATTACATTGCACAACTCCCCGACCGATTTCCTCATGTTACATCGTACACTGTTCTTATTGTTGGACATGCTCATTTGAAAGTAAAACATCCATGGTGTTTCCTGGAGCGCGGAAAAGGCAAAATGATAGAACCGCCTGCCTTAGGCTTATTATGGCAATTTGGAGCTACATAACGCGTGAGTAGTGTATGATGGCAGTTTAGTCACGGTACGTACCGTCACAATTTGCGTCTGCAGGTTGGTTTGTATACAGGCCAGAGTAGTCAAACCAAATAAAACAAGAAACAAACATATTGAGCCAATGGACGTCACCCACAAGGCTCGTTGGTGCCTGGCAGCCGTGAGGCGCGGATACTGCCAAAATAGTTTGAAAGTACTTGTTTGCATATGCCATGGCCTCATGCATATGACCCAGGCCCTGATTATTTGGGCATGAACGAAGCTGAGACTAGCCAAAGCGACGATCTTGTTTAAATAAGACTAAGGAATCACTGACACGAATATGCAATATCTGGCTTGAAGAATTCTCCCATATTACTCGGCGTGCACCAGCTGCATTGACGGTGCTCTAACTGACCCGAAAAGCAAGATAAGGCACTAACTTGCGCTTTCCAGGTATATTACCCCTCTCTCCCTGCCATCCACTCAATCTTATCGGTCGGTATGCTACGAAGCCAAAACATGTCGCTATGACGCCCCAAATGGAAAACAAAGACGTCTGACGTCCGGGTTGGAAGTCGGTCACATGTTTTCAACCCCTCACAAATTTCGGGATTGGGACGTGCTGAAGTTGTAACTTTGAGGGACTTTCCTGATGATCAGCAATTCTCCTGTTTTTGTTATGTTTGTTTCTACTCTCACCGCTTTTAGGGATAGGTCATTTGAAGCAGAACTAAAACCATCCATCCCTGGAACTCTTTTGACCTGCAAGCGCAACAGACCTATATCCTTTTTGACCTCATTTTCCTTCCCTTACCGAATTTCTTCCATCAACATGTCGCCAAATCTGAAACCCGACATCTTCACATACGCTGATTTTGACCTTCAAGCTCTGTGCCGTCAAGCGAGCGCGCTGCGGCAGGGTGTTCCATGTGCTTGTGACCCCGATCAACGTCCCGCCTCGGGAAGTTTCAACTGGGCTATCTTTATTTCGTTTGAAGATAGGGTACGATGGGTCTTTAGATCTCCACACTCTAGAACGTTTATGCCAATGGAAATGGGAATAAAGCTACTGGCAAGTGAAGCTGCCACGCTCCGATACCTCAGGGCTCATAGCGATATTCCAGTTCCAGAAGTATACGACTATTGGTAACGAAATCTCCCAGACCGCAATCTTCTAGTCCTAATCTATCATAGTGCTTCGTCCGATAATGACATCGGTATTCCGTTCATTTTTATGAGTGAGGCGCCTGGCAAGCCACTGTCAAAATTTTGGAGATCAGCCGGTTCTCCTCAACCTGACCTAGAGACTCCTAGCAAAGCCAAAATTCTCTCCCAGTTAGGCGGTATTACCTGGAAGCTTTCGCAGTTGCGATTCGATAAAATAGGCTCGCTCTTTGAAGATGAAACCTTCGAAATCAAGGAATGTCTCTCACGTGGTCACATGTTACATGGACGATACTCTTTAGAGATCCCACGAGGACCTTTCACGTCCGAGGCTAAGTTCTATGATAGCCTTGTTTCTGCATTCTTAGAGCATGCAGAAATTCTGCAGTTGTCACATCATTGCTTTGTGGCACCCGTTCCTTCGCGGGACGACTATCAATCCAGGATACAATATGAGAGCGCAGTCAACCTATGGAACGACTTTGTGGCCGTTAGAGGCAAGACCGACTCGTCAAATAACAGATTGGATTATATCATCGCAGGCGACGCTCTCCGCGACATTATACGGAAACTTGAACTCCCAACTATCAATTCGGAGACTTTTCCGTTATGCCACCCTGATCTGAGTGTCAATAACATATACGTTGATGATGATTATAACATCACCTGTATCATCGACTGGGCATTCGCTTCATCCATTCCTGAATCAATGCTTTTAACCACACCGGGATTGCCACAATACCGTGACGAAATTAGTTCGGAGTTATATATACCTTTTATAGATGGCTTCATTTCTGCTATGCCTGCTTCGATGGAAGAGAGGTCGATCCATAGATATCACGAATCCCTGGAGCGGAGCCAAGTCTCCTGGAGATTAAACCGACTCCTCAACCTAGACTCAATCAGTGATTACAACCTCTTTGCTACGGTTTGGCACTTTGCCTATGGACCTGAACAGGACCTGGGCCATTACTTCTTACGACAGTGGAGTTCGCCTCGCTACATCCGGCTTTATAGCGAAGTGCAACAGGAGGATCAGCCACTTTCGAAAATCCAAAAGGATGAAAAAGATTATTTTCGAAACAAAGATCTCAGAGAGACAATAGCTAAAAAGCTGACACTCATGTCGGAATGGGAAACGCGGTTTACTGCCAATCATCCGCCGAGACTTCGGAAAGATATGTTTATCGCTTCTCCCAAGTTATGGAAGTGGATTCAACAATTCCTGCAGGACTGGGAACACATGTCTTGACGAGTCTACACCAGACATCAAAATCTCAAGCGAATGCGCTCAACTGGGACATCCCACAGATCATTGGTCTCATCATCTTTCACCTTCTCAAAATTAGATTGCACATCAAACATTGTTTGGGGGTAAATACCGTTTGCAATATGGTGCTTGATGTACTTGAATCAATTGTGCCTTCGCGCCATTCAGTCTCTGCGATAGCTTTAGTTGATGTCTCACTTTAGACCTAGGGTATCAATTTGACCTACTACCCTCACGACAGTACCAGACTGCGGCACCAGCGGTGTAGTATTCTCTCTTTTCCGCGCCAGTTGGTGGGGTTGGAAGATCTGGTGGGGTCGATGGCTGGGGACGTCTCTTAGGCATGGTGTTCAAATGCTGTAATTCTTTCCTATATTCTAGTTCCCAGGAGCACGGCGCCACATTTATATTCACTATTTTTTCGCACTGGCCTCTCACAACATTTCTTCCACATAGTATGGACGCTTAACGCCGAGGCTACCCATCAGGCAGTTGGCAGCACTAGATAAAATTGACACCATAGGCCGTGAGACAAGGATGTAGTAGTGGCCAGTATTATTTTGGGTCTCCCTCCATGATCCATGATTATCAACCTGAAACATACGAATGCCACTTTCGGGTGAATAACCGGGTGTTATTGGCGCTTCGATTAAATCATTCCCCACTTGCGTTCAGGCTTTCCACAAAAGCATTCGCCAGTCCGACAGGATGTATGCGATATGCGGGTCTACAGTTGTTAAATGGGGAAGGGGGGGGCGGACTCACCTGCAAAGTATGAGTGTTTGCAGCGACTGCAGCATGGAACAGCCAACCAAACTCAGCTCAACTAGCTCGTGACGTGGCAGCCGCTAACGCATGTATGGTAACTGCGGACAATGCAGTGCAGTAACGTGGCGTCTAAGCGGGCGGGGCTCGGGCGGAGCTCAGACCCAGAAATGTATGGGATTTCCCAATGCATAGCTTGCTGGGAGAGTATTGGATCAAGTGTACTCTTTACCCTTCATAGTTACCCCGCTCATTAGGAGCGTACCTATCAACTAAACACATCAATCAATTATTGGTCGACCTCCCATTCAAAGCGACCAGGCCAACACAGTCAAGTGACGGCAACCGAGTTTGAGCCAATGAGCGCTGCAGCTGGGTTAGGCAAGATACGATTTTAATTTCCCTCAGCCTCATGCATGGTACATAATTATCCTACAAGACATGAATAAATTTGGCTTAACCCTACCCATCATCACATGTAAACGTACTCTGTATCAGCAACATAAGACGGTAATTTTCCCCTTTATCATGCTAACTAGAATTTTCAAGCTGCTTCTACAAATCACCTTCAACGGACCATCGTCCTTCCGATATGGACGTCGAATCCTCGTCTCAGAACTCCACCGAGGAGACACTTGATAATCAAACCTCAATACAGTCGATTGAGACCTCCTCAACAAAGTCATCAATAATCAAAGATGCAGTTGAGATATTCGAGGAACAACTCAAAAACAACTGGACTCGTCAAAAAATCCCTAAAGGCATGAAGAGAAAAATCCAAGAAACGCGCATCGCTCAAAAAACAGCAACATCACGAATCTTCTTCGACAATGGAGGATTTAAAGCTTGGTTTACATATTTTCTTGCGACGGAGGGAAAAGCTCACTTCAAAGGGCGACGTAATAGATCTGACACCATTTCAAGGCAAGGGGGCACCCTCTAAAAACATCGAAGAGGGCAAAGGGAAACGTCTTAACCCCGAGCAATGATATCGTCAGGAAATGCCCTAATCAGACCCAAACCCCCTCAGGGGGTGGTTTGGTTGTCTCATTAGATCAAACACAAGAGATTTTCGGTCGCGGAGTTCTCCGTATCCAGACTCACGGTCCTCGACAAGCCTACTTCATGACGTTCCTTCCAGAGGTTTCTCATCACCCCTCTATACCTTCACCGTCTGAAATGCCTCCTGAACAGTCTTCACAGCAGTCTTCACGCTTTGAAGACTTTTCTCAGGACGCATCCTCAGGACAGGTGGGACGCCGAAAACACCATAAGCGAAATATATCTACAGCCTGTGAGGATGGAGACAGGCGGTCGACCAAACGGCCACGACACTCGCCATCTCGTGATGGCCGCAACAAAGCCCAGCGAAAGTGTAGGAGGCGCTTGCGGTGGTCTTCGTACACGACAGGATTGGGAACTTCAACTTCTGAGTGTTGAGATAAAGGGTTCGTGGACTAACAGCAGCATCTGCTTCCTGCTTAGCAGCTCTCGCAGCGGCCTTGTGTCTCTCGTTCTCCTCTTTGTTCCTTTGACGCTTCTGAACAGAGGAGTTGCCGGTGTCAACCATCTGCCCGACGGCAGCGCTGCCCGAGCTAATAAGCGCGTCGTTGACTTCCTTTCGTGCATTGGGATCGATATCCTACATTGAGTAGAGGAAACTGGGATTGATTCAAGTGATAAAATGTGTGTCGGTTTGGCGTCTTAAATAAGGTAGGGCCTAGGAAAATAGCGATATGGCGGTAGTTCAGAAATGCCCGACAGCCCCTATTCTCGTGAAGTGCTTCGTATTTTGATAGGGATAGCCATGGCGTTGTTTTTGTCTCGAGTTACTTGATGCTGGGCCCTTTGCCACGATTTCCCTAGAGATTGGATCCCACAGAATTTTGGCGCTGCGCTAATGCACAAGACATAATACGACACTAATGTCTGATAGGCACAGATTCTAAAGTATTGACAGAAGAGCAAGAGCACTTGAGGTATATAGCTTTACTGTCAATACTCGCAAAGGTTCTATGAAGTTTGTATGATAGTTCATATGACGCCGCTTTTGATTGGCATCGCCCTGCGCACCCAGGGTGAGTGCGGGATAGAGGGGGCGCGCGTGGGTGGGGCGAGAATTTTCTAGGCTAGCATATTGGCCGCTTAGGCCGCTCTGTGAGGCTACAGTGATATTTCATTGGATATGGTCGTAGGCTCTGAAACATTGAACCCTTGGCATATGTATACAGCCATGCGAGAGCTCTGTTATTTGGGTACTTTATGGCTCGCGCCCGGGATTCTTCTTTGGACTTAGGACTATGGGCCCTACGTGTATCGCTGGAATTGAGCTCCACTTTTAGCATGGAATGTGGTAATATTTTATTGACGATATTACTACCGACTCTACGCGCTACGGATATATACCCTCAAACTATTATCGATCACAATATATAAAATCGAATAAAATCCGTTCTCAGAAATTCGACTCCATTTTTGCTCGACGTTAGGCCGATCCCCCTTTGGCATCTGCGTATAGTCACCACTAGTTGTTATATAAGATCCAATCGAATGTTTGCCCCCTAAGAGTGTGTTGATCTTAGCAACAAGGAAGAAGTGCTTTGTGGCTAAATTGGGAGAATTGGAATATATCGTGATGGTCTGTGCTATGCTGGACCCAGGTATGGAGTACGCTTTCGCGAATACCATTAGCCGCTAACAGCGAGAGAAAAAAACCTACCCCTCTTTCAGCACTGCCCTCTTGACTGTGGTATGTACTCCAAAGAATTATCTAAATCGTTATGCCGCTAGTGAATACATTTGGAATAATAGCAACTAAAACACCATGGCGGCTAGATATACAAATGATTGGATGGGGACTGCGCATCTCTGCTTTAGTGCGTCTGCAGTTCAAGAGTATGATAGAAAGAAGTACGAGAGCACGTGAATTCCCTACTGACTTCGAATAAACGCCCCCTTTCCATTTTCATTTTTCACAGGACAACCGACTCATTTATTTTTTTTTCGCCATGGGCCTCTCTCAAAGCAAACTTATCATCAAGACCCTTGAAATAGCCTGTAAGAAGGCTGAGAACGATGGGGAAGATAATATTGCTTCAGTGCTCTCCGAACAGGAGGTACGTTTGCCATACCGATTGGGCAACCAAAACTAATATTGATCAGTTTATTAACTCTATCCGACAACTATGGGCGCGTATTCCTCTGAAAACTAGAAGAAGTATCGGCCACCATCCAGATAAGGGATCTGGAAGCTCTAAGAAAATGCGGAAGGCACCGAACAAGTCAACGATAACGATACCTCAGGCTTTCACAGCCAACCTACACCTCTGGGAAAATAATCCTTCTTTGTTTTTCATAGAGGATAGTGGTATTTCTCTTGAACTTGGAAGAGATCCTCTTGCCGGATCCTACAAATATATATCTGGATTGAAGCGGAGAACAGAGATAGATACCATACGTCTACGATTCTGGAAGGTGGTATTCTATCGATTGAAAGAGAGGCTATGCTTAAATCACTTGCGTGTTGGCAATGTGGAGATTGTGGCACGAATTATATCCCAGTCTAGTAAGGCTGGGGATGAGCTGGGTTTGATTAGGCAGCGGGTCTCTCGGTGGACAGACGAAGGGAGGCGAATCGACACATTGTGCCGGGACACCAGTGGAGCCAAGTCTCTGGATAATGCACATCTTGGTATTTTGTTTTGCTTGCCTGACGACATTCCCGACGAAGTGTGAGTTTCATGAGTGAATATATTGACAATAACTGACCCCTTTATAGCATAAGAGCATTGCCATTAGCCGGACCAACCCGGGAAGAAGAGATTCGCCTGCTTAGGCATCGCGGTATATTAAAAGTTGACGGCTGGGAAAGATTGCAAAATCTAGGCAAAACTATTTTCAACTACCTGTGGGAGAAAATGGAATCTTCAATTTCCCACTTCCACTTATCCGAACTGGGTTCAGGTCAGTAGACTGAATGTTTCTCCTCCCCATTACATACTAACAACTCGATATAGACTGGGAATTGCAGCACACTCAATCCTTTAGGATACAAAACCCAAAATTCTCATATCCGGGATGCGATCAGGGGACAAACGCACCAACGATCCCATGTCCGTCTGGTAACACCAATCCAAGCTCAGGATGCCCTGCTGTTGTATCCCCGGTACCTTCCTCAGGAGGATCGGAAAGTACCTATTCTTGGAATAGTAGGACGACATATCAGGCTTCTGGTGCACCAAATCTACAAAGAAATGCAGACTCGGTACAATCAGAATTTTGCTTACATGGTCCGGGGACTAGGACTGTGGCTGAAAGCACATCTAATCAGTACGAAAACATCGAGCCGCTACAGGCACCGCACGGGCTGGGGGGGCTCGCAGCCTGCGTTCCACTTGTTTGAAAACATCGAGCCGCTACAGGCACCGCACGGGCTGGGGGGGCTCGCAGCCTGCGTTCCACTTGTTTGAAAACATCGAGCCGCTACAGGTACCGCACGGGCTGGGGGGCTCGCAGCCTGCGTTCCACTTGTTCGAAAACATCGAGCCGCTACAGGTACCGCACGGGCTGGGGGGCTCGCAGCCTACATTCCACTTGTTCGAAAACATCGAGCCGCTACAGGTACCGGACGGGTTGGGGGGCTCGCAACCCATGACTGGGACACAGAGTATGTTCAACCAATATGAGGATAGCCAAGCGCTTCGGCAACCATTTTCCGGTACCTTTGATGACAGCCTCGTGGCTGGAAGAGATTCCTCCAATATGTATACCCAAATGCCGGATGATTTACCGTCGAATCAACCACAAAACCCTTCCTACCAACAATTCACTGTGCCTGTTTCTGTGAATTAATTTTTTCCATTTGTACTTAACCCCTAATCTATCGACACTTCATTTTATAATAATAGATTGAATGTAGAATTGAGGAACACGGCGCCGAACACATGCATAAAAATTTGGCGCTTCGGTATCAATAAGGCAGAATAAATACAGCAGTTGCGCCTGAACTCACCATCGGATCGTCCGTGATGTAGGTGTAACGGCCCTCTTCCAGTACACCTCCAGGTGTTAAGGTGAGGTCTGTTAGAGGTATGAGATATCCATGCTTCCGTTCCTCATTGATAAGTTTCGTCGGCTTCAAAAAATATACCAAACGATAACCCCAGCGCTATCAATTTATCAGCCTAGTAACCTGACAAGGGAATTCGAAGCACGTACACCTTTGATATTCATCTCGTCCTTCATACGCATTATCTTATCTTTAAGTAATGCTCCTCCATAGGTCTTGGCCCCATGTTCGTCTACGCCGAGGACGCTCGCTTGAACACCAGAAGGCTGTTCCGATATGGCTGTCTCAGGTATAATTTCTTTTATTTCCTTGCGAATCTCTTCGGCGGGGGAGGAAGTTGGCGGGGAGTCATATTGGAAGTCGTAACTACCGAGTAAGGTAGTGAAAATCAGCAACGAGTGCCTTTCCAAAAGTCAACGAATAAAGCAACGTTTCCGGTGATCATATAGCGCAACATACCTCGAGAAAAAGTGATAGATTAACCATGAGCTGAAATATTTCCAAGTCGCGCTAGATTGGAGGGGAGGGGTTGGAAGAAGAAGGCTCACGTGGCATTGGGCATGAAATCACATGACCAGGTAATTAATCCCTACACACATAAAGCGGGTCACTGACCTCGGGAGAATGTGTGGATTAGTCAGAATATCAGTCATAACTAATAGTTTGCATGGTTTGTATAGTCATCCCTTTCATATATTAGGTCACCAAGGCACCTTCACATCTCCTCTTCGCAACATGTCATCTATCTTACGTATTCTTTCTTCCCGCATTCTTTGTCTGTTCCTAGCGATGTGGTACCCCTTAGATATTATCTTTGGTTCAATCAAGGCCTTGCGAGGTCGGACACAGCATGTTAGTGACTCTGAAGCGGATGATACGTCTTGTCCACAAACCTCGGCAATTGTAAGTCATAAGGGGCGTTTGTTGACTTCGTCGATTGCTAATTGTTGCAGGATAGCTGCAATGAACATACAGATACTATGTCCCATGTTGAAATCATCGAAGTTCCCCGATATCACCCCCAGGGGTTTCGGAGATTATCGGTCGCGGTGGCGAGTGTTTCGTCGGAGCCATTGATGAGTCTACGGTCTTGAAATATCCATGTATTCCCGGCGACTGCGAGAGCATCCAGATAGAGGCCCAGCTTCTTGAGGTCCTTGGAAGCCATCCCCGTATTATCGCCTTAAAAGGCCTGACAGAAAATGGACTCGTCCTACAACGCGCATCAAATGGTTCTCTCAATGACTATCTCACATCACAGTCGTTTATACCTCTCGGTAGGAGGCTACTCTGGTGCAAACAAGCTGCCGAAGCAATCAGTTACATCCATGGAAAACGTATCATCCACTGTGATATAAACCTTCGGAATCTACTACTAGATGGGAGTCTCAATATATTACTTGCAGACTTTCAGGGAATGTTGAAGTCCGCCGATGGCACCACTTTATTGGATGGGCTCTCTCGGGAGTGCTCAAAGTCATATCAGCCTCGAGTTCATGGGGATTATGCATGTGTGGCGACCGATCTTTTTGCGCTTGGTTCTGCTATCTACTTTATTATGACCGGACATGAGGTCTTTCCTGAACTTGATAGCTTGGAAGACGATGAAGAGATCTTGTCGCGCTTCCAAAATGGGCTCTTCCCGAATGACAATCATACTTGCTCTCAAATTACAGAAAAATGTTGGAAGCAGCAGTATCGGCAGGCTGCTGAGGTTATTTCTGATCTATGTCTTATTCAAGTTACCTAGAAATATATTGGGGAATCGATATATAACATATATCTATATAACGTTACTTTCGTATTGTTCCTCCCATACTATGCAAATGGTTTGTTTTAACGAAGCCTGCTAGGACGGCCAAGGTGAAGGTCGATGAAGGAAACAAAAATCAGAAAATGAAACAAGCAAGTGGGGTAAAATACAATTTCACTTAATTTATGGCGGAAAAGACAGTCCACTGCTATTGCTATTGTCGATTCTCCTAAGCATAGTAATCAACCTTTTATTTATTCAGCACCTACGACTTTCCCTCTAGGCAATAGAAAAGAGAACGATAGGAGCTGCTGGGTTTACTTTGACAACCTTGACATAGGGAATGAAAGAAGAAAAGTCATCACGAGGAGGTGTCGTAATTGTTGTCTCTGAACTTCAGCACCTGGGACATATTCCTCCTTTCTTGGTAGACTGGCCCATGTGCTTATCCTCATATCCAGGGCAATTTGGTTCGCCACATGGCGGCTGGGGATCATGTTTTATAATGGTGTGTTTGGGTCGTGCAACGCAATTCACAAATTTGGTGGTATAGACAAATCGAGTGCACATCTTAGTGATTTCTGGGCGGGATCTGGCTCTAGTTAGACTTAGATTTGAGACATTGGTACAAAGCTTACTTAATACTAACTTGTTATAACTGCGGGAGTGAATTTTTGGAGAGAGATCTTTAAGTAGGAGAGGGAAAGCTACAACTTTATATATCTATAGCCTTGGATTTGTCCGACACTGTCTCTTCGATCAGACTTGCGGCCGACGTGCTCTTTGAGGGGAACCCTGCGTCTTGGCAGAGTTAGCGCCGGAACCCTGTACTCGTGGGTGGTGGCGTGGGCAGAATAAACTTTGGCTAGTTCGGTACTAATCCATTTCGGGAGAATCTTCTTGTTGCACAAGAAGATTCTCCCGATATAGGAATCTCGGGAATCTTCGCTCTTGAGAGTATCTAAGGAAATTGATAAACCTTGGATAGTTTACGGGATCGAATATTGGCAGATGGCTTAGGATGTTGATCAAAGTCAACCAATTATTTCGAGCACGCGCTATTTGCTCTGGTCACGAACGTAGTAATTTATTGCTATTGTTCTTTAACAGATTCGACTGAAAAGGTATAGAACGAAACTTGGCAAGGCTTTCATAGAATTTGTTCAATTGAGCAGTTCCTATCTGAGCTTCTAGAGTCTAATGAAGGAAGTGACGTTTTGAACCACGGGCGGGACAATAAGGCTGGCAGCAGGGGTTTGATTTTCTCGCTACACGAAGTCTTCACTGTCTATAAACTTAAATTTTTCTTATATGATATGGAAGGTATAAGGGTTGTGGAGTAAGCTCCATGGGAACCTAGCTCAACGTGTCCCAATCAGCGCAGAACATACACTTCTCATGGACCAGTCCAACCCCCAAATATCTGCCACGTCGGAACTCGACACTACTCTTATCAAGGAGAGGAAAGATGTGCTATCCTTCGATTGCGACCCGGCAGAATTTACGCCTCCTTTCCCAAATCTTAAACCCGCGTGGACTACTTGCCATGTTGCTGGCACACAAGGTTTGTTTGGTTTATCAGATAGCATTGGGCTTTAGCTAACCACTGCAGTACCGATTGTGGTGATTACAAAGGGTGCAAGATATGTTGCTATCCCGTGTACTGAAGAACTTTTAGAATATTGTCACCAATTATTCCCTAATAGGGGCCTTATGTTACAGGCCTTTACAGTCCAACGGCATCATACCACCAAGATTAGTATTGTTTTTTTCCCCCTAGAATGGCAGCTTCTACTAAGATGATATCAGAGATGTAAGAGAATCGGGGACTTTTTCAAAAAGAACCCATCCCCATTTTAAATGTAAAAACATTATATATTTTCGTGGTATTAAATAGCAAAGAAGAAATCGAAAAACATAGTTAAAATAAGCAGCACTCATGCACCTCACAAAAGAACTTCTGGATTTCCTCATATGCAGGAAAATGGGGAACCAGGTGCCCGCTACGCCTTGAGATAGAGTGCCACCATTTTTGTATCAGGTCGATCTTCCGTGAGCAACAATGTAATAATTATACCGGAATACTTGCGATCTCCTCTCCAAGGGTATTCATTCCATCTATCACAACAAATGAGGAATATAAGCCCGTCAACCCCAGGTTACTAGATGCGAATTCTTCCAGTTACACAGTGCCTTTAGAGTGTATTTCCAGAAGCTCGCACATAAGCAAATGTATGTCACTAAAGCTTCAACCATCTTGAATACCTCACACACATTGAAGCCAATACATTCTTCCAGTCTCTTCCCAATCCCACTCGACCAGGATTTTAATGATTGCCCAGCCAATCCACTTCCATGAGTTTATGCTAATTTGAATGTCATTGTCAAGAAGACAAACGCCCTGCGAAGTGCCCAAAAAATCTACTCGTCATATAAAACAGCAAAATGTGAGTCTGGATCGTATTACCAAGCCTATACTGTTTGGAATTCATTTGCTAATTTGAAGAACTGTTTTAGATTCTGCATAATGTGTCACGTTATATATTATGTCTACCTATCCTGTGGGAGTCGGAGAGAAGGTGGCGAGCTTCCTTGTTTCGAAAACCCCTGTAAGGGGAAGCAACCGCGAAATCAAGAGATACACCAACACTGTGGTAAATGTGATCGCTGCAAGAATAGATAACTAGGGTATTGAAGTATCGAGTGTTAATGTTTGAACCAAGACGTATTGATACTACTGTAAGCTGTAGGGAATAGCAACGTAGAACATACTTGATAGAGAAAACTGTGCTGAAGGTGATGGCTGTTTCATTCAAGATATAAATTGCCATGTGTATTACTTCACATAGTCCAAAAGCCCACTAATATCCTCATCTATTCATCTATTTCTGAGCTCAGACATCGTCAGTTGGTTTATATTCACTGCCTCCCATTTCCCTATCATTGGAGCCAGGTATGAGAACAGGCAAGCTCTATTTTCGGATATATGCTGACTTGCGCTGTCTTTTACATAAGCCATGTCAAGAACGCCTATCAAGCCCCTTAGTGCACAATTACTACAGCTTATAGGACAATTCCGTATGATTTTATTTGATTTAAGGTCTAGCAGATATCTAGCTAACTATTTAGTCCATGAAATGAGAAATCCCCAGTTCAAGATTGAATATGGCGATGTCACTACCTATATCGTTTCTTCGGCCCCGTGTGATGATGGCCCGATTACTACCCCTCTGCTGTCCGATATTCTTTCTCGCCATATGGGATATGCCCCCACTCGGGAATTTACTAGGAATCTAATGGGGGCGAGTATTTACGATACGGACTTGGAATGTATGGCCGTGCTATACAGTCTCCTGATGATGGATCACCTGCCCCCTAGTGGCTTGCGTGTGTCAATCATCCGCATACTTTATTCGGATAATGGGGAGGACCTTGAGCGTCATCTTGTGGATAATTTGGATGATGACGATAGCGATTGGCTAAAAGCCCAGCTAGAAAGAATTTCGTGATCCATGTTAGCCGAACGATGGGAACTTGGTCACTGTATCAAGCCGTTGAATTGTTGAGCGCCTAGGGGAGATGGTTGTTTTCCTGTATGAAAATATGTTACGTGTATGAGAGCATAGAAACAAACAGGCATTAATGACCAACCCAGTGCCATGGCACAACAACTTTTGTGTCTGTCACTCTACACAACTACATCTATCAAGTATAAAGGCCACTGGTCTGAGGCCAGATCACAGTATAATTATTATTCATGGCTTTGCCGTTAATTCCAAGAGTTCGTTGCCTACTTTCAAATTTCATATCACGTCTTCTACCAGGCAGGTCCCGTAGGCCAGAATCCAAGCAAAGTTCTACGCCCTCACCTACGAAAGCAGACATAGCCGTGATGTCGAAAGAACAGCCTACCTCTTCAGTCTCTGGTGTTCCCGCCAAAGATCCAGTGCCGGTTCGCTTGCATGTGGGTCACCCTTTCCTTCTAATTAAAATCAAGCTCTAACCAAACAAGACTGTGCGAGTCTGGTTCCCGTCCAATCCACTGGAGCTTATGGAAGACATCAAAAGAAATGGCCTCGACGATGTGGTTGTTGATGCCATTTCTCTTCAAGAGCTTGGCACCGAGCATCAAGCCCAAGATAACCTTGAAAATCGGAAGGATGCATTCCTAGTGGACCTTGCGGTGCTTGAGCCTGGTATTGTACGGGTTCGGAGAAGATATGGGTTCATAAGATTCATTCCACTCAGCAGCGATGATCCGGTTGTCTTACGACAGTCGGCAAAAGACCCTGACTTGAAGAAAGTTCTTTGTTATCGGCACCTACACTCAAAATACCAATACGAGGGTGAAAGAAAGAAACTATTAGCAGCAGTTTTGGGATTCGAGGTGGACAAGGGCTTGGCCGACTGGTATTATAACACCCTTAAAGACCTTGAGAGGCGCCTAGAACAACTCAATTTCATTTGACCAGAGCACATAGAATCCAATGCATGTTTTGCTCCTACACTGATTCCTTGGTGGGGCTCAATTTGTTTGACGTCCACCTTGAAGTAGTATCCTCACTCATCAAGTCTTTTGCAAACGTAGCATCTATATTTACCTCCATGGAATATAGAGCGAGAGCTCGCTATCTATATCCTGTTGCATACGCATGAACTTGACTCCGCATATACAGAGCTCAATCCTTACTTCTCGCTTGTAAATACCAAGCGTAAAGAAGAGCTAGGTTGTCACTCAAAATACAGTGGCCGGTTGAAGAATATCATAGGGTGCACCTTGTCAAATCCCTAGACCCGGGAGAATCTCTGATTTTAATACGCCAAACATATAAAGCTCGACGCCTCGCTGTCTCACCTTTCTGCCTCCTTCCCTCTCAGTTTCAATTGCGACTATTCTCGATCAAGCTAGACTGTTTGAGCCTGGTACAGGAACGCAAAGATGACAACAGCGCAGATCGGATCGCTTCGTTACCATGAGCAACATCCATCGGAAATGGAGTTCACTGGCTTTGTCGTCTTATCGGCTTCCTCTGATGGGGCCGACCTAAATTCCAAGGTGAATCGGTTTCTACACGTGAGACCCAAAAGGGAAAAAGGTCCTTTTGTCTATGGAAGGGGAGATGCAGACATATGTGGGCAGTTTCTGCGATGCGGAACCGAGGAAAGCGGCGCGGTGGGTATAATAAAGGATTTTATTGAATCAATGCTGACAACTCTTAGTTCTCTAGAAAAATCAACGAGGCTATAGGCGAAGTTGACTTTCCTGTTCGTCAGGGTCCTGTTATCGTTCTCGCCCTCGAAAACCACTCAACATGGGGCACTAGACTTGCCTACCCATCCCACAATGCAGTATCAATCTTCCGAGATCTTTCAGATACCGACGAGACCAGAGTGAAATTCATGCTCTACCCCCGGATTTATCGAAAGAGAAAATATCAGAGACCCGACCATTTGTACGGAAGCTGCGGCGAAACGAAATCCTTTTTGTGCAAGGATCGGTCAGAATGGAATTAGAAGTCCCTGATAAGGGCTTATTTGTGTGGCAAGGAAACAGTGGCGTACCAATGGGGCGTGATATACTCGGGCTAGATGTCTTCGAATTCATGGCGCTTTAGGCTTCTCGTGCCCTAGGGCATTGGAGGCATTGGATATGAAGCCTAAACAAAGTATTGTGTTAGTCGTGAGAGATATGAAAGGATATGAGTTAATACCAATGTTTGATACTAAGACTTAAAATGCAGAAGTCGTTGTGCGTTCACAGGAATGTCGGCAAAGCTACCTCTTAGAAGCTGTATAGCTTTGGCTTCTTCGATAAGGGATAATCGGCGAAAAGTAGGCAAAACTGGGGCGAACAAAAGTGCAATCCCCTCACTAAACTCAATCTCGAATCTCCTAAGCTTTCGCCCCTGTTGAAGATCACTATAAGCATTGTGATCCTTTGACCGCCCTAGGTGACGAAGGAAAGACGGCATCGACCAGACACCGCGGACCTGACTCCCAGGATGTGCACGGTCTAATCCTTGCGTCCGTAGCCACTCTTCCTCTTCCAAGGCCAGAGAAGACCATCGGAAGATGGTTTGTAGGCGTAGGATCCACAAGCGTGAACTCGCACCACATGAAATAAAATCCAAGATACTTGGAAATTCACTGGTTGTGTCTTCTTCCGCAATAGCTGGAGAAAGATCGACCTCTAAAAGCCTTAAAAAATGTTCCATCTGAATGGAGAGGTCATGAAGCAGACCCTCTGTAGTGACTGTTGGATTGTGGCGAGCCGGCATTATCGATGTGTGAAAGTGGGAGACGCTCAAGTGGTTGGAGTTCCGCTGTGCCGCTGACTTGGAAACCTAAAGGTGGACCCAATGGGTGTAGGGACGCAATAGGTATAGCATAGAATGTATCCCCACAGAGTTGATTGATCACAGTTTAGGCCCGCCTAGACACTGTGATAGTAGATGCATGCCCCTTAAATGGGTATTCTTGAGATCATGGAGCCAATATATAAGTAACACGTATTGCCAGGGAGCTTTAAACCCATATGCTACCTATCAACTATGGAAAACATCTTTACGAACCGTTTTGTGTCAAAACTCAATATTTACCCCCTGCTAATGGTGTGTTTCGGGGTCACAGAAGTATGAGAGAACTCTCTTTGGCCGGTAAAAACAAATTGACTGACTACTTAGGCCGAGGGTGAAAATTACCCAACAGAGCGACCGGGTTCTCATCCCTTAGGAGAAATCGAGACTCAGCCGGGCAAAGTTTACCCTCCGAATATACAAGAAGGCCCAAAGCGGGCCAGTGGAGCTGTTGACGCTTCGCCGAATAGAGAAGCAAGTGACTTCACGGTTACTAGAGTTTTATCTGTCGTGTATATGGGTACTAAACCGCATTTGAGCAATTCAAGGCTACATATTGTGTTTATGTCTGAAGAGGGTGAAAAAAAGGGCTGGTATGAATATACGAAAATTCAAAACAATGACGGTATGGGCGAAGCGCTGGACAAATTTGATGCAACTTGGAATTAACAGAATTTCGCGGGAAGATTGCCACAGAGCATCACCATTTATGTATGAATAGAGGCAAGAGCATACCGATTATTATATTCCAAAGGCCCAAGAGGGATCAGGTCTAGCCAAATTAACTGATATGACTGGTCTCAATAGACCGATTCAGGCTCCGTAGACTGCGTAATGCCTCTGTAGGGTGCGCATTCTGAGCCATATCGTTTTAGAATTATGTGATCTTTTGACTAGGGAATATAGAGTTTGGATAGAAAGACTGCTGGTATGAAATAAGCAATGCCTGTTTTAATGAATTTGATGATGAGATAGGAATAAAAAAACAGAGAAAGCCAATCCCCGCGACACGGGTACACAATGATCAATTTGTTTCTTTATCTCGAGATTCTAGTAGGTAGGGTAACCTTGGGATGCAGAAGTAATTAACTTATGTGCTTGATGCATTAGTAGGTCCATCGGTATGTATAGCAGCATCCCCTCGCACAATTGAGCAGTTTCCTTCTAGCGATGAAGAACAGATCAAATAGTTGCATGGCTATTAGCGCAAGATGTATAGGCAGAATAATAGAAAGGGAGAGAAAGTGAAGAAGGGAAGCGAAACGGGGTCTTATTGAAGGGAGGTTATGTGACGATGTATTGGGGCGCTAAACCCGAAGAATTAAAACTAACCAGATGCGGTAACTCATAGCTCATGCAGTATCACCTTTTATTAATCCTAGGATTGGTCATGGTTATAAGCAGGTGGAATAATTGAGGATTTGACAATCTGTAAGCTAATCTGAACAAAACATAACTAAGACTTGAGACGAATGAATGCGAGAGGCCAGCTCACTGAAAAAAAAAAAAAGAAATACACAAAACTACATTCTGGGGCTTTTATCCCCTACCAATTTTGTGGACTTTGAAATGAGCGGATCATCATCTGCTCGGAGCTTTCCCTCATCGAGTGACGACGGGAGCGAGCTAAAGCACGTTCATCAAACTTCCCTGGTCGATTGACGACGGGAGCGAGCCGAACCTTCTCTGGTCGAGTGACGACGGGAATGAGCCGAATCACGTTCATTAGAACTTTCCCTGGTCGATTGACGACGGGAGCGAGCCGAGCCTTCTCTGGTCGAGTGACGATGGGAGTACGGTTCACGTGCATAGTCGCCTTCATCAGAACTTTCGCCGGGACTAATATCCCGAAATCGAACATGGCTGCGTAGAACTCCCGCATTGTATTGACGTGGCTTCTCTGAAGCCCTAGGTTCCTCCTCACTTGCCGAATCATCTTCATAATGTTCCAACCCTTGATTCTCTCGATAGGCTTTCTCCATTTCTATCGCTTTCTGATAAATCGTTTTGTCACCATCCAGACTTGATCCCATGGTGATTCGCCTGATAAATGATCTTCCTTCGACAGTGCGAGTCCCATCTCTCCATTTCACAAGAGCTCGGGTTTGCGGATATAAAGCGCCTTTGATTGGTTGGAGCAGTGATAATGGGTTGATCCCGTCTTCATCATCATCCTCTATCTTCCATCCAATTCCGAGAATACCAGCAACATCTCTCCTATTATACTTCCAGTGCTCGTCAAGAACTCCATCGTCATCTTCTTCTACCTCCTTGGCAGTACCACGGGTTTTAGAGATCAACACCCGCTCTACTTTTCTCGGGTTATAACTCTCATAAGAGCCTGCCCGGATTCGAAAGATAGGTGCAGCCACGCTCCCGTATATAACGAAGGTCTGTGATCCTGAGCCTTTAGGCCACCAGTAGAGAACCGTCCCGGAAGACATTTTCCGCTGTTCATCCCACGTCCTAGATTCAAGAGCGTCAAGTTCTTCGACAGAAATATGATCTGCATCCGTCTCTATACTTGGTAATAGCTTGTCCACATCCTTCGCTTTCTCTTCTTCTGAGATTAGAGGCGAGTGGTCTTTGATCGGGTGTGGATTAGGCAGGCTGATTCTTTCTTCCGCCCAAGACTCATCGAGGTTCCAATCAGATCGAATCCAATGCCTCATATTTAAAGCTGCAATAAGCTTATAAGTCTCATTAAACCGGTTCCACGCCTCTTCGTGGTTTGTGTTGCCGACAAAGTTCTCGAATGTGCCTGTGTAGCCTTGAAGTATTCCTTCATAATTGGCGTGTGGAATGGTGCCTAAATTGATATCATTCAAGTCGACCTTGCTGTTCTCTTTACGAATTCGAGCGTTGAGACGATTGAAGAATTTCCTTAGAACCTTGTGCTTCCTATGGCGGACAAATTCTTGAATAACATTAGGTGAAGCTGCCACTGCTTCTTGGGTCATGCGAATCGCATGACTATTGGTTGGAAGCCTATCCTGGAGTGGAGGTTTTTCGGATTCCGAGTCGGTATCTTCGGAACTATCCATGTCCAATGCTCCATCTGCAAATTCCTCCCCTACTGCAATTTCCTGTGGTTCCTGGGTTGGACTGCGCGTTTTTTGGGCTTTATGTGCCCGAGTTGGGCTATGAGAACGTCGCGAGGATGTGGATGGCCGCATTGGACTGCGAGACCTTCGCGAGTGATTGGATGTCCGCGTTGGGCTACGAGACCGTCTTGGTTCTGTCTCAAGCCTTTCTAGCTGTAGGGAGGCTTCACTTTCATTATCGGAGAATGGTGTTTGAAGATACGCGGCTTGTAGATTTTTCCTTCGGTTTTTCCTACCGTTTCTCCCCATTGTTGAGCAATAGTCACACTTTCACAATATATTTTCAAAGTAACAATGGCGAATCTTAGTTGACTATAATATCAATGATCAAAATTGGCTCATATATGATAATGGATCCTGGTACTGAAACGGATCGCGATTTCGAAATGGCTCGTGCGGAGTCTATGCATCAACTCAAAAGGGTCGTTTCAGTGTCATAGTAACCTACTCAGACACAGCCCCAAGTGGATTTATTGGACTTTGTGTACAGCCAATCTGCCAGCGGATATCTTGTGGACATATGTATACGTTCTGATATGCGGTATATCCAGCAGTCCTCATGCTCACGTGCCGTCGAAAGCCCTAAAAGCATTTCCACCATAGCAGGCGTGGAGATCACTCTTTGATGTACTTATATGTACTATTTACATACTTAAGTACAGAATTTACAAATATGATTCAACAATGGTGCGATTTGCGGTTTTGGGTTCAGCTCTATTCGTAATAGCCTAAACATGGTGCATTTTGCAGAAATCCTTTGACTTGATCCAAAACCTCTGAGGACTGAACACACTTCAGTTGATACCACTCCGCAACATTTAGTAAACTATCAATATCTTGTTCATAGAGATAAATTGCCATCTGTGCCTCCCTAATACCTGTTTCCTGCTGGCTTAATCTTGCCTCTGCTTCTTCCCTCGCCTTCTGTTGGAAAATGACGGCTTGTCTAGTTTTTTCCAGCTCCTCCCTTAACTGATTATTTTCGGCCTCAAGTACTTCCATCTCTTCGAATCGTCCGGACTATCACTATTAGGACCGGAAGAAACTCCTGGAGACTCACTTACTGTGACTGAAGAAACCGCAAAGAATTTCAGGCCTACTGCGTCGTATAATTGCTTGTATCCCCAAGCTGAGTGTTGGCTTAGATGTTTTTGAAATAGTGATTTAAATGAAGAATCAATGACTTCCCACTTATAAGGCAGCTTTTCCTGTAAAGTCTGTAGACGGACATCAGAAGGTTTCACCTTGATTCCCAAGGTCTCAACTAAATTATCGCATTAGTTTCAGCTTTGGAACCCGTCGAACTAAACATACATATATGTTCTGCGAGGCGAGTGCGACATGCAGAGCGCCACGAGGCTCTTTTTCTGTTTCTTGGAACTTGAATTATGTTTTCCATCATTTAGGAAAATGGGACATTAGGGACCTTGTCTGCCTTATATCCTATCTTTCCGCGTGCCGTTTGATGTCCGTGTATAAAAATAGAACGGCCACGTAACTGTAATTCATGGATTTACTAACCCACTAGAGATCAGCTCAGTACTCTAGACTTACAATAGTGCATGGTATCCTCTTCCACGTTGGGGAGATGCATATTCTCTTACAAGCCCCAATGACATGATCCCCTAAACCAGACATGATTATCCCCGTACATATTTTGAATTATATTCTGACATTGAATCGTGAAATTTCATGATCGGTCTCAGTTACTGGTGTTTGTAACAGCATCCGGACATAGCAGGCGATGTATGTTGGACGCAACTGTAACATATACGAACAGAGTTGATGCCATTTGTAATAAGTCTACAATACAGTGCCGACCGTTATTGCCTTCCATACCGGGAGACAAAGACATGCTATTTCAAACCCTAATCACATGCCACGCTAAGCCAAATACGGTTACTTCTGTAACAAAAGTTTGTTACATATTTACGTAGTAACAAGGATGAAAGTACAAAACCGCTCACTCATGTACTGCTACATGTCCAAAAATAGCCATTTTTCGATGTCCAAAAATAAACCCTCTGCCCTTCCCACCCACAACCGCCATGGCGTTGTTTGTTCACTACTCCCAACACATCAACTGCAGTTTACCAAACCACTCCCAAAATGGCAAGAAACATCGAGTCCTGGCAACGTCAAATGATTATCCATATGATATGCAGCAAGAACAGACTTACTACATCGCAAATGGCAAAGGTAGCGCAGTGCAGCGAGCGCTCTATCAGTAACATCCGCAAGAAGTTGCGCTCATTCGGTAGTGCCAAATCTCCCCAAGTCTCGATCGGCCGACAATGAAGTATCGCCCCTATCATGCTTGACGCACTCTGTGACCACCTCGCCGAAAAGCCTGGCCTATACGTAGAAGAGATGGTGATCTTCCTATGGGATGAGTTCAACATATTACCATCATCATCTAGCGTTAAACGCGCTCTTTTGCGGGCTGAGTGGATGTGACGGACCGATGTTTGCTAGTCCAACCTGGACTAGCCTCGTCGGTTGACGCTCCTTCAATGTACCACGCTGTGCGTTGACACTCCCTCAGTCTACCACGCTGTACTACGTAGTTTACAGTGTATTTGTATACTGGACCCGGGAGCCTTCGCGCCTTCCTTTCTTTTCCCTAGCTTTAGATTTCGGTACACGAGCACACAATCTATTATCTTAGCTTGTCTTGGCCACCGTCACAGTGGACGAAAAAGAAAGCACAGCAAAGAGCCAAAGAACAGAACCCTCAACTACGGGGTTTCTACCAGCACAAGTTATCTGGGTTTCGGTCATATCATCTTGTGTTTGTTGATGAATCCGGATGCGATAAAAGAATTGGATATAGGCGGACTGGTTGGTCACCACTCGGGGTGACACCAGTCCAAGTGTCAAAGTTTCATCGCGGTCAACGATTCCAGATACTGCCTGCATATGCTCAAGACGGTATCATAATGTCTTGTATTTTCAAAGGTTCGACGGATGCGACCTTCTTCGAATCGTTTATCGAGCAGCTTCTCCAGCACTGTGGAAGGTGGCCGGAGCCAAAATCCGTACTGGTTATGGATAACACATCATTCCATCATTCAGATCGATTCAAGACCTTATGTGCTGATGCGGGAGTCAAGCTAATGTACCTCCCACCGTATTCACTGGATTTTAACCCCATTGAAGAATTGCCGCGCTGGAGGCACATATCAAGAAAGCTTGGTCCGCATATGAAGAGAATCCCGACCAAGGGTTCCATGCCTTCCTTCGGCGGTGCGTATATGACGTAGGTGCGAAACAAGATAGTGCCGAAGGCCATTTCCGACATTCATGTATTTCCATAGAGAAGATATGACTGGGTGTCGTATTTACGTGTGTCGTACCTGGGTAATACCCGTGTTATGCTCTCACGTTGCGCCAGTTAGGTTTTTTCTAGTTTGGGGCATTTTATTTACAGTACGTCTCGAAACTGGCGCAACCACCTGATGAGAGAAAATACAGCGATATGGAGAAACAAGGAGATGAATTTTCTATGCAAAGAGATGGACGGGGAGGAGAGAGAAGAAGAAAGAGAAAGCGAAGCTATCTACACCATAGATGGAGGACGCCATCATGTGATGTGCAAACATCACAACACCACCTCACCTTTTGATTGATTCTCGAACACTACCTTGAAGATCTCCCCTTTGATACAGACCTCTCGACAATCATAAGTGGGTGGTTCAGGATGGCACCCAATATTGCCGCGTCAAAGCCCGAGGTTGTCAATGACACGATACGCAGAGAACTATCCGTATCGCAGATGGCACGGGCCACTAGCCGTAACAGGAGTATCATCCTGAAAGTCCCTACCGATATGCATATGTTTAGCAGCGTCAAAACACCGACTTATAAAGGTGGTCGACCACGAAGCATCACTCTGGTCATATTAGAAGCTCTTTGCGGTCACCTTTCCGAAGTGTAACAGTAGAAGGAATTTAAACGTGTTACTGAGATATGTCAGCATTCAGGATTTATTTAACAACATAAACTACATAGCTTATCAAAGTAGGAGATAAGAAGAGCAAATTTAGGCATTCTCGAAATCCTCTTGATCATTATGCTCATAAACGCTTTTCCCGCCCCACTATTAAGGCTTTAACGCAATCCATCGATTGAAGGGACATCAGTAAGTTGAGGGCTATTTTTCAACGCTCTGTATATGGCATTGTTACCATTTCTGTAAAATCGCTCCACTCGCTGTAAATATAGGGCAGAGAACGCTGATTGTGATGGCATTAGATACTAAATAATTTACGGCGGGCCTTTATTTTTGTGAAGCCCGCTCAATAAATGATATGCGACCTTGCCTTGGCAGTGGTGCCATGAAAGAGTTCCTCAATGGATAGTGGTCAAGCCGATTTCAAGAATCATATATAAAGAAATGGTTACTGTATTGAGCAACATATAGTAAATGACAAAGTTCGAGATTTAAAGAGAATATGAAGTAAATTTAACACGTTATATATACCAAGCTCGTAGCAAAAGAGCTAAAATCCCGAATATGATCCCAGACATGATTGTTGGGAAGCTAAAAGCAGTCTTTGGAACTAAAACTTTCTTCCTCCGTGCCAGAGCAAACTTAGTGTCATCTAAGAGCTCTTTCTCCGACTGATCGTCATTTTCATGGAGATGTTTAGGAACAAGATTATTCAGAATAGGTTGGATTCGCTCTGATGCCAGTCCTGTGAGTTGGGGGTTTTTGTCAGGCACATTGGACACCTCAAAGACTTCGTGCTCTTTATTTGGATGCAATCGGCTATGGTAGCGGTGCCTCTGTACACAGGAAGAACAGAGATCGATACAGGCGCACAACTTGCATACAAAGCGAGTTCCGGTGACAGTACACTTGCAAATACTACAAGAAATCTGCCAGATGTCTTTTTTGGAGGAAGTATCACGAAGAAGATGGAGCTGGAACAGATAGCGCGCGTTGTCGAATTGGCCAATAAACATGAAGTAGCGGCCTAATTGCTGCAAAATGGGCCATAAAGACTTGGATGTGGCATTTTGAAGCGACTCGGTGAGCTCAAGAAGGGATCGATGAACAGTTAGCTCCTGAGTATCCGGAGGAGTCAACGCCAGATCGGAGCAGTGATCATGGATTCCCTGCGGTGGGGATGCGTTATTGGATGCCCAGTCCATAACATGTCGGCCATAACCATCTGAAATAGAAGGATCAGCGCCAGTGTTGAGAAGGGCAGTAGCAAAACTAATGTGACCATGACAAACTGCGAGGTGGAGAGGAGTTTGTAAGAAGTCATTACGGGTGTCGAGGGCAGGCTCTAGTTGTGGGAAGCGGCGGAGTATATGGAGCATATTTTTGGAAGCTGCAACATGAAGTGGAGTACAGCCGAGTTCATCTGCAAGTAGTGGAATTGCACCGGCATGAAGAAGAAGTTGAACTTCATCAATATGGCCCTCATGAATAGCCGCCAAGAGAGGTGATCCATATTCACCACCTTGAGCGTTGACATCAGCGCCAGCTCCGAGCAGTATCTGCAGTATCTCAGAACTTCCTTTCCATGCAGCGGCCTGTAGGGCATTGCCGCATGTACCACCCTGGGCATTGACATCGGCACCAGCTCGGAGCAGTATCTGCACTATCTCAGGGCTTCCATCGTATGCAGCGGCCTATAGGGCATTGCCGTATTTACCACCCTGGGCATTGACGTCGGCACCAGCTCTGAGCAGTATCTGCACTAACTCAGAACTTCCTTTCCATGCAGCGGCCTGCAGGGCATTGCCGCATCTACCACCCTGAGCATTGACATCGGCACCAGCTTCGAGCAATATCTGCACAACACTCTCATAGCCTCCTAAAGAAGCTGCTTGTAGCGCACCTCCATCTACTTCCCTTTTCAGATTTACGCCCTCATCTAGCAGCCACTCGACGAATCCTATATGTCCAGCACTGGCTGCCTTGTATAAAGGGGTGTTGCCTCTGTGGTCTTTCGTGTCTTGATCTGCTCCCTTTGCTCGGAGGATTTTGCCTACCGTTAAATGACCAGATTGGGCTGCCAGATGAAATGCTGTATCTCCATCTTCGTTTGTCTTTGTGACATCCTCAAGATTTAAGGATAAACATTCTATCAGATCCACTAGATTCGCAGCGGCAGCCATATGTAAAAGCGTTGTGCCTCTTGGTGGACATATCCAGCCATACCCACCTATCTTCTGATAAATCTCCACCCAAGGACTGAGCACTCTTTGTAGAATCTTCATCTCATTATGCAGAACGTTGGAACGGAACTCGACAGCCTTTTCTGCGTGGATAAAGAGATTCTTAGTGGCATAATGAATCAACGGACGATCCTGGATAAGACTCTCTTTAGTTTCTTTGAACGCGCTGGTTGCTGCCAGTGTATCAACTGTCGCAAGATACACTAAACACGATCGGTAGAGAGTTGCCTGGCAAATAGAAAGAATCTTTTCTTCCTTCATAGACAACGTGCTTATGTCAATATTATAACAAAAAATCTTGAGTCCTTTTGTGCGCAAGAAATCATTAACCGATTGGTGTACTACCTGTACAATTTCCCTATTGTCTGTACTGCGGACCACTTAGTCCGCCAGAAAGAGCCTTGATCCTTCGCAGCATGTGTTCATTGTTTTCGATGAAACCGGAGATTCTTTCCCACTTCTTGGGAGACAGTGGCTCCCGCACATTCTGAGCCACTAGAGCATACCGCATCTCGGCCACAGTCAGGGGTCGTTCGGCCAGACATATCCATTGGAAGAACAGAAATGATTGCTCGCGGTTGCTCTTCTCTATCACGTTGTTCAGGATATATGCATAAACATCTTTCAGGCCGGCCGGGACCTTGTGTAACCAGCAACAGATATCGTCAAACGATTCTCCTTCACGAATCTTCTGCTCGATAAGGGGGATCATAATATGAACCCATTGGAATACTCCATTCGCTTGCTGGGTTAATTGCCTGACTAGCATCTCCCTTGTCTTCTGACTCGTAATGTCTTTAGCCTCGGTCTTGGTCAGTTTATCCTGGATGTATCTGGCTATGTCTCGCTGATTATGTTCTTCGACCTTTATCTCTATAGTATGACCACTTTCCATGATCGGATAGTGTCGACATGAGATACAGATTTGGATGCATAGCTTCTTCCCCTCGGCGCGACCAACGAGCCGGTGAAAATATCCTGCCAGCTGCTGAGCAGATTTAGCCCCAGCCTCGTCTAAAGCATCCACAAAAACCACCACGTGCTGCCGGCTAGCTGATGCCAGGATGGCACTTGCGAGAAGCTCCTCTAGTATCACCTGTGGCCATTCCCACTGACGTTTGCCATATCCAAACTGCTTACATCGCCGGTCGTATATCTCACGTATCTGAGAACGTACAGTCGGGTCGCGGTCGAAAATCTGGTTTAGTAATGATCTGAGCATTCCTAGTGGTGTACGTTGCATCTCTGTACCCCGAGCGTTGAAGAAAAAGTCGAGACGGATACCTGGACGATTGTCCTGTGATATTTGGAGTTTGTCGTGCAGGAATACCATCAAGGTCGACTTTCCTGCACCTGGCTTGCCCTTTATCCACAGCAAACCGTGGGACTGGCTCCTCCACGACTGGTACTCTTCCAGGTCCAAAATCCATTTGCAGGTATTCGTGTGGCATGGCTCGATATTATCCCTCCTGTCAAGCATCTGCGGGAATGCCAGTGACTCAAGTATCTCTATAATACTTGTCAGTGGAAAGTCGGTATGACTCGTCCGGGGCGATGCGAACCATTGTCTGTATTCTGCCTTTGGGCCTCCTGTCGCTCTGGGGCCGCAAAAGTGGCTTTCGGTCAACTTTGCCTCGCTTGTTGATGGCTTCGTATTGTCTCTCACCAGATGAGAAATAGTTCTGAGTTATCGGACCATGGTTGATCCCCACTTGAGTTCCTGAGTTTTCGCTATTAAACGATGTGGAATTCATGCTCAATAGCTCGTGTGTGACAATGCTGTTACAGGCACAGGAGGCTCCAGCATCGAGAGTGGGAAACTCAGCCCAAACTCAGCCCCACGATCAGGTGACTGACTGCCGATCGCCGAACCTTGGCGGCTACTTCTCCTATCAGGTTACCCGGGCCATCTGGCGAATGTGGGACATCCACTCGGGAGTGGGGTGAAGTCAATCTACATTTATCAGCTGGTTCCATTATTATCAGCGATCAATCAATAGGCCCTAGGCTGCAACCTAGTCGTACGAGGAACCGAGGAAACTAACACCTCGTCCACCTCGCAAGATCTTTGCTGCTTGAATAGTCCTTAGTCAACTGGTCAATCATGTTATTAACCAATGGTTGCAGCTTTAAATACTACGGCTTCAGCACAGAATGAATAAAACACCTCAACGCATAGAACTTCCGCATTAAAAGCGGGGTGGAGATATTCAAACCTTGGCGTAAGGAAAAAAGCTGTCAAATTCGCTCGGTATCATCAATAATATCTCTAGCACCCTGCTCAATTCCCACGTTTAACTTCGTCACTCTGCTCCATTCATTTATATCACGTAGGAAGCGACGCGCTGTTCCTATCTGAATTCCTCGTTGAACGAAAAAGCCAGCGTCCGAGTCCTCAAGTATTAGTTCCAGATCCAGGCGGTTGTTTAATGTCACCTGGCAGATCTTCCGGAAATCTGCTTTGTACTCTTCGTCGGTGGCGCGTGATTCCAGCCACTTGCAGTAGTCCCGTACTGCCGTTTCTCGAGATCCGGGAATTACCAGTGGCTCGTCGGGTAAGATTTTAGGTAAGAATGAGGTTACTGTCGACCAACTCGCAGTTTGTGCTGGCAGCACGTTGATAACAGTTGGGGGATACGGTGGCCATGGTCCAGCCGATGCCGTCTCAGCCTTTTTCGACTTTCTTCCTATTTGACTTTCCAGGACTAGATCCCGACGGATATCGCTGGGGATATCAGCATGACAATCAAGGCTCCCACCACCATCAACATGATCAATCAGTCTTTCTAGGTGTGGGGTCCTCAGTTTGTAATGCTTCTTGTCCATCGGACCCTCCTAGCACCAATCAGATCTAAGCGGGCATGCCGAACATTACACCGCATAAGGTCATATACAACACTCCACGTGGCAGTTCGCCCAGTTCTCTCCTCTTCAGCAGCAATGTGAGCCTCTCACTCAGCCACCATTCTGCTTGTTACGGATATACGGCCTCTCTTGCCGACTGTCCTTGATACAGAAGTAGACTGATCGTCATCTTCACTCCTATAATTAAAAGCAATGGCTATAGTGAGCTTCTTGCCAATACGAAGCAAATTGCTCCATTTACGTAGCTGCTTCTCCACTGGTTTCCAGTCGATGTTAGTAGAGCGGTGGAATTTTTCGATTTTTCTCTGGGACCGGTCGTTCGATTTCATCGTAATGTCTGTACCCTCAGATCGAACTCTCTGGTGGCTTTTCTTTTTCATTTGCAGCAAGCCTTCAACATCTGCTTTCAAAGTCTCCTGCCAGTATTCGCCAGGGGCTACAACCAAATTTTCTTCTGTCACCCTACCTACCGCCTTGCGGTTCAGTATCACCTTCCACTCGATGGTGTAGCAGACGTATTTCAGAGCCTCCTCATCGTATTCGCCACCTTCCTCCCATTCAGCAAACGGTAGGAAACCAAGCTGACCCGATTGTGACTGATCCGTGGCACGACGAGGGGCAGGGCTAGGGGAGTACAAGGTTGCGGGTGTGCTACCGAAGTTACCGGGAGTGAAGGCATATTCCCATAGGTCGATCATCGGGGAATGAGCGGCATCCTCAGCGAAATAGCTGTCGGTCATCGCGAATACCTCTCGGGGGGAAGGGGGTGAGCTTGAAGCTGCAAGTGGTTAGCCAGGAATGCCTAATGCCCAATACAGACCCGAAGTTGCCACATGGCGATAAGCGATAGTAATCACAAAACAAATCTTACTGTTAAGCCTTTCCTATCAATATCACCCAAGATAGACACTCCGAATAGCGCCAGACCGACCCTCTGCAATGAAGCAAAAGGGATGGAAGACGAAAGTCGACAGATTCCCAAGGATCGCCTAGTTTGCTCGGTTTGCATGGAGCCTTCTAAACGTACACCCGTGGTTGTTGTACTCCTACAAATTGGTACTTTTTGAAGTATTATTACAAAATATATACAAGACTGGTAAGTTACGCTAAATCAATGTTGAGCTAGCATATCATGTGATTAGGGTTTGAAATAGTAAGTCTGTCTCCCGATATGGAAGGCAATAACGGTCGGCACTGTAAGCGACTATAGTGCATGAATCGGTGAAATATGCAGCTCAAATTCAATTACACTCAAATTCCGATGTTTGCTCATCATTCTCTAATTGGCATATTCAACATGAAGTGTCATCTTTCTTAGAACAATAAATCCGATAATACGACGACTCTTGATCTCAAAATGACAAGGAGTTGACATATGAACCTCTGACATAGCTTCAGAAAGACTGACGCTATCCATAAGCATAATATCCAACAGACGTACCCAGTACACATGTGATCTAGAACGATTCACCACACTCAGTGTTGGACTGCAAGGATAGTAGCCGGAAACCCCAATATGTTCAATATGCACCCCACATGTCCGAGCTATATTGATAGCTCTCAAAGAAGCATCCAGGTGCAGGAAATCCGATGTATTCCAATCCCGAAAGGCACGACTAGCAAACCATAGAGATTGATCTTTAGGGTATTCACTAAATGATATCTCGACGGATTTAAGGGCGTGAAACCGAGGAAGAGAAACGCTTAAGATATTGAAATATCTGTTAGACCGTAAAACTTTGTCTTGATCCTGACATAGTTCCTTGAAAGACGAATAGATAGAGGAGTAAGAGATGCATTTGCCTCTGGATCCCCAGTCAAATTCTTGCAAATCTCTCAGATACTCTTGAGGTGTGTAGATACACGAGCTAAAGTAATCCAAATCGTAAATCACTGTTAATTTTTAGCAATGTGATAATACAATAATTCGTAAAACATACGTGGATCTAAAAGACATGATGCCCCGTAACGAAGTTTCTCCACATAACCAGATAGATTTGATTGGGACAATTCGTGTAGGCCTTCTAAACCAGTACTCGAAAACGCAACATGCACCGAACGGAACAGATTTGCAGTACTCATTCTTCGGCATCTTTTATTCACACAGGAAAATGACTTCAATGATTCAATCGGAAGATCTGGAATAATCAAAAGAATAATCTCCGGAGGCAGGTTTTCAAGTGACATAGTGGAAGACGCGCAGGCAGCTTGATCAGACTGATGTGGAAAACGTGGCATAGTACCATAAAACATGATCGGATGTCGGCGCAAGCTCGCACATCGGAACAGGCTCGCACACCAGAACAGGCTTGCACACCGGGACAGGCTCGCACACCGGGACAGGCTCGCACACCGGAACAGGCTCGCACACCGGAATGGGTAACTCTCCGAAAATCCTGTCGTTATCCCAATCGGATTCATAGGTCTAAAGCGGACCGCATAGTTTAATCTACCATATATTCAGGTGAAAGCTTCTGTCACCAACTCTAAATTTCCTTTCACCATACATTTCTGTTGCAGAAAATCAATGTGAGACATCGTATGCCCTATGACTGGGACATTAACTCATCTTATTAGAAAACCATGCTTGGCTCTGTCTCCTGGTGTTGTGTTTGCTGCGATAGTAAAGACACTCGAAGTGTGAGAGTTAGAGCCATGAAGCACCAACCTGCATCTCAGTTCACAGCATTTTTGCTATTTTTACTCCCAATGAAGCGAAAAATCTGCATTCACACTATATGCAAAGAATGTGTTCAAACACGACAGTTTGTGTTTCCGGACGAACAAATGAGCATTATTTGGAAGGCCAGAGTCCAGTCAAAATTCGCCAAGCCAATTCCTTGGAGGAAGCAAGGTTGGAATCTTTGGGTACCAAGCACGGAATGCCAAGAGATCAATCAACTGATGATTGATAGCGGAGAAATCTGTCTTACTATCTACATGGATGCGTTCTTACTATAGAATATTCGTCATCACCAGTTCAAAATGACACATATTATCATATTATAGTTCAAGTTGAATTAAATGTAACCCCCTCCCCCGCGGCTGCGATATACGTTTGTACTATTTCTGCGAAAAAAAAAAATAGAACGAGAATGGTCGAAGGTCAAATGTAGATCCAGCCCTGTGGCGTTACTAGCGTATGCAGCTAACCTAAGATAGATCGCCGATCGGGAAGTTGTGGGGTGTTTTAAAATTGAGTTCATGGGTATTTACGCACGGACCCCGTGTTGCGCAGGAAGGATCAGTGGACATCAAGAGATATTGTAATATACGTCATACTTTATCGATCCGTTTTCGGTACGGCAACTTTTTGGCTTGTCCTTAAAACACAGTTCGGTTCCTTTCTCTGGTCACATTAGTTGCGCATTCTACTCATCCCCTGTTTTGCGAGTAATGGATAAATATTTCAATCGACGTACCCTCGAACCAATCTCTGAGGAGATAACACCAACGGATCATGACATCCTCCGTCATGGTGGCACATCCTCCAACATAGAGAGACTCCCTTCTCGAATTCAACGATCGAAGCTATCATCACCAAATTCCAGACAAAAGATCGAGGATTTGGCTTATGAAGTGAGCTACCTGAAAGCTGAAGTTCAATGGCAAAAGGAAAACAAACAGATCTTTTTGCAATTTCATCAACGAATCTTTGATATTTTTCGAGCTATGGAAGACGCTCTTACACAAACATGTATACAGATGGAAGAGTCAGAGAAGCGATATCTTGATCTCTGGGATATTCAGAGGCCTAGTCCGGCAGGGGGCTTTATATAGCTAGTCTAAAGGAAATCTATATACAATTTATACAATTGATTGATCGCGCACGAATTATACATAATACCATTGTTGAAAAAATAAAAAAACTTAAGTTTGTGAATTGATTAGGCATTATAAAACAAAGTTTCATTGCGAACATATTGTGCTATATACCAAGGAAAAAAGAAAATTCAAAATTCAGCGTAGCTAATCTGTCACAATTTCAATATCAGAAGAAGAATCTGATCTCGCAAGTTGCCTCTCGTACTCATTCAACTCCCTTATCGCTTCCGCTAGTGCTGCATTCAAGTGCACGGCCAAAGATTCGCGGGCTTGAAGGGTGGATTGAAGGGAAGCGATGATCTCTCTTTGAGTCTCGTTCTCTTTAACAACAGCGAGTTGTCTCTCTTGGGAATCATCCGAAAGATTTGCACGAGATACCGCTGTCTCAATAAGTGGACCGAAACTGATAACTCGCGCCTCTAATTCTTGAACCTTTTGTCGTTCCAGAGCTAGCTCGCGCGCGATGGCATCAGAAGCGCCAGCAGCGTTTCTTATTCTCATATTTTGCTGGCACTGCAATGCGTCGATGGTTTGTTGTAGTTGCGCAGAATAATGCCACACCCGCTGGTATGATATATTATCGCACTGGATCTTTGCCTCCAATTGAGATTGATAAACCCTTGATCTTTGATCTTGAGATATCAATTTTTGAACCAGGGCCTCCATATTAAATTGAGAAATCTCGGTAGGCTCGGCTCCCTGATGTGTGTTAGATATCATGCTGATAAATGAGCAATGTTCATACCTGGGGGGACCGGACCGGCAGGAACCCTGTAGCTTTTGACATTGGGGTTCTAGGAGAGCTCATTTCTCATTTCTTGGAGGAATATATTGACGAAGGAGGGAGAGGCGGAATTTAAAAGATAGAGTCCTAAGATAATCTGCATAAGCTAGGACCAAAGGCTACTGCCTCGCGACGAGCCAAAATAGGAACGCTCGAGCGAGCTGACAATGGTACGTTTCTACTATTTGGAATAGAATGGGGCACTTTTTTATTACGGATTCTTTACAATAAGACAAGAGAAGGATACATAAGGAATTATGTATTAGGACCATGTAAGAAAAGAAACATGTTCTATTTTGTACGCACAGTAGCATGAAGCCGCTGAACAAGAAGATAGTCCAGTTTAGCAAGATTGAATATGTTTTCGTTCAAACCATGTGTCTACCTACTCATTCAACGTCCCATATCGGCTAGCTAAATCACCAAACTTGCTCATTGCAGCCTGTTCACGTCTGATGACACATTGGAAGATATCCTCTAGCCGCATAACAGCATTTGTAGCTCTTCCCACCCTTTCCTCATACTCATCAATGCGGCCCACCAGCCTTTCTACCTTGATACTCAAACTTTGGACTGCTGTCTCCAAGCGACTAATTAGAATAGATAGGTTTTCCACGTTTGAAAAATGCTCATCTAACGCATAAGATGTCGAATGTATCTGTAGGGATTCCGTATTTCCTAAGAGACTTCAAACCTTTAGAGTCGTTTCAAATATTAGGATTAATAAATTCACCTTTCTGATGCCGAAGGTATCGCCCTATCTTACTGTTAGCTGTGTGCTCTGTGTTGGATGCGGGGATATTTCCATACATATTGTCACCAAGCCCAAACTGGTAATTGCCAGGTTGACCATTAAAGTTGCTGGTATAATCTTCGGGGCCTTCATCCTGGGTCTGGGCCAATAGACTTATGATCTCTTCCTGTGTCAATGTGGGCGGACCATAAATTGGTTCCTCGTCTACATTAGATGGGGCAGTGTTGAACTCGCTAAATGCCTCGGGTGTTGACATCTCAAATGAGTTAGGGGATAGGGGTTAGTATTCAAGGATAAGAGGGGGCTGTTTCGGGGTTTTATATTTCGTCTGCGGCCATCACAGAACACTAGAACTCTGTGCCGTGCCGTGTGCTGGTGGCATGAGAGAATCCTAGACGCTGTTGATATAATCCTAGACACTGTTGTTATAATCCTAGACGCTGTTGGTATAATCCTAGTCATTGTTGGTATAACTGGGGTTGTAATTGGCTTTATGGGAGCTATTGTCTCACTCCCCCTCCCCACTTCCCACTTTCCCCCCTGAACACAAAATCAAAGCTATGAATGCTACCCTGGTAGCTATTTGTTCTATGTAACGAAACGTTTAGTGAATACAGTGTGATACTATAGCGCCGTTTCTTTGTAATCAGAACTAAAACAGGTCGCAGAATAGCGCATAAGAATAAAAAGGCTGACCTAAATCTATAATACCTCATCCCAGGAATATTTCTCGGCCCCTTTGAACAATAAGAAGCTTTCAAGAATGCAGCAAAACAATAACGTCGGTTGGTTTGATGTTGGCATGCGAGACGATTCGAGAATGGCTGTTAGCGAATACAGTCGACTTAAGGAAACAGCGAATGAACTCGCAAATCCTCAGAGTCAATGTCCGATGGTCTGTGCATTTCTCGGAAGAAAGAACAAGGACTATGCCCTTCAGCAGCTTTTCCCTCGCAACAACATTAAACGACATGACTCTAACGCAAATATAAAGTTGCGCTCTGATCTAGTCTCTTCGAACTCTCAGTGGCCAGTACTCTTTGCTGATGGTGATACCGGACAAAGGAATCACGCCCCAACGTCGAAGAGACTCCAGCCTGTCGCCCACCCAGTTTGGTGGGATTGTAAGTCAGGGAAAACCCTGTTGCTAGTTATCTGGGCCCGTCTCATTTTTCTGTTTACGGATGTTGTGTGTATTTTTGTGGAAGACTTTTCAGGTCTAAATGAGATAGTAGAATTCTTGGAGTGCTGTGTCAGACTACAATCAGCATCCCCTTTGCCCTATGATACCCGGCCACGAATAATTCTAGTTTTCCAGGCAACTACGGAACAGATATCGTGGGAAAAGCGGAAAGAAGTCTGTCAAAGGCTGCAAGACACAGTACAAGGAAATTTCGATTCTACGTTTTCTGGTGTCCATGCAGTTTGGTTGGCCGGTGGCTGGCTCTCTGAGACGGCGCGATATGAGCGATTGAGAATTATGATCACGACACAATTAGATAGCATGAGAGTTGTTCGCCAAAGACATAATATCTTGCTTAGCGCTAACAATTTGAAGGCTCTATTTCAGACTGCATTTGACCACACTTTACGCGATATCGAGCGTCCATTTGATCTCATTGGAGCTACCCGTATAGGTCGCGAAGTGAGCCCGTGCCTAATCACCAATCTGGCCCACTATTTTAAAATTGGGGCCCAGCCAGAGAAACGGCTACAAGATTTAGCGCCGTCTGTTGCGTCAGCGTTATTTATGGACCATTACACGCCTGAAATGATCGGTATGACTGGCACTGTTCGATTAGTTCTTAAGTATTAACGGGGGAAATAGGGCTCGATCCTCGCATGGTGTTCTGGGCTCTCTATCGGCCTGTGGTGATCGAGGCGTTAACTGAAAGCAAAGACTCGTGGTCGGAGTTCTGCCCCACAGCTTTCGCAGCAATGATTGAGTATCACATGGATGTACTCTTCACCCGATTTTCGAGAGATATGATATCGTCTGTAGATTTACGGAAAGAGCAATTGATTTCCCAAAGTGGGCAGCTATCCAGTATCAGGAGCAACAAAATTTGTCTATATTGTCTCTGTCATTCTGCTCAGCACGTGTTGGCATGCGGTCATACTGTATGCGATCGATGTGTTCAGGTTTTTGGAACACCTACAAAAGGGTTTGAGTACCGCTTCGTCGTGAAAGGATGTCTCTACTGCCTTTATCAACGGCCGTTGATAGCCGACATACTACCGCCAATTATGAGCCCCTCAGTCCTTGCCATCGACGGTGGGGGTGTGAGAGGGGTCATTCCGTTAGAATTTCTTTTCTTGATTCAAGAAAATTTAGGAGATTGCCCATTACAGAACGTTGTTGATCTTGCAATTGGTACAAGCTCAGGTTAGTACGAAGCATGTATTGAAGTGCTGATCATACGCTAATCGTATCTAGGGGGTCTGATAGTCCTTGGATTATTTCTCATGCGCTGGGATATTTCGCACTGTGCTAAGACTTTTGACCAATTGGCAATCCGAATCTTCCAACAAAGGCGCCAGTCGACCTTTCCTTGGCTCACCAGGCAGTCGATCTTAGGTGATATGACGAGATGGATACAGTGGCTGCTTCATGATAGCTGTTATGATTCACGTGTATTCGATACAGCGCTTAAAGATGCTTTTGGTAAGAATCGGCGTGTCTTTGGTGTTTCTTCCGATGATCCGAGTGGGTCTCTGTATGCGGGGTCGAAATTTGGAGTCGTGACCACAAGCATCTCCAAAGACACAAATACGTTTGTTATAGGTAATTTCAATCAATCTCATAGATCCTGTGATGATTATGGTAAGGGCTCGTTATTATATCCGTTACCAAACAACATTTATTTACTGACTCTATGCCTACAGAGTACGACTTGCTGCGACCTGAAGACCTTGAACATGAACCAAAAGCATGGGAAGCGTAAGACATAGCATATCCCCACCAAGCTCCACTCCGGTACTAATGTATATCGAATAGGGGGAGAGCGACAGCTGCCGCTCCCTTGTAGGTATTCCGGTGGTTTATAACGTGATTGGTGGAAAACGCGAGCTGACGTCATTGGCTAGTTTTTTTACCCCTGCAGATCTTGAAATCGGTACCTTTCAGGACGGTGGCCTGAAACACAACTTCGCTGGTGAAATCGCTCAACAGATTTCCCATCAGATTTGGCCATATTCTAAAGGATCTACGCGAATGCTATCACTTGGCACCGGAGCTGCTGAGCCTCAAAGCAATCATTCCACCCCACATTTCCGTCATATCTTTCGTGACGGATTTATGCGCCGTGGATTTGATGCGTGGATGTCTTCTATGGACACAGAATGTGATTGGCGAAGAATGAAGAGCCGTATAAACGAAGCAAATCGACCAGATTACCATCGCCTAAATGTAACGCTTGGGGGGCTCCCTAGCCACATTGATGCTGTGGAGTCAATGGATGATTATCGAGACCTGGTTTTGCTTCAATGCGGAAGTGCCCGGATGGCCCGGGAAGCGGCGATCAACTTCCTGATTTCTCGATTTTACTTTGTTCTTAGTGGCGAAGTGGGAGATAACTCCACCGCGCTAACTTGGTGTCGCGGTACTATACGGTGCAAAGGACCAGCTCGAAGCGTGATCATGGCACTCCAAGCGCTCCACCCCAAGGGCCTCAGCTATGCCTCGGATTGCGGGATGGTCGGTAATTTTACCGGGCTCGACGGACTATGCCCATCTTGTGGATGCTATAGCTATCCAATTGCATTCCTAGTACGTCACATCGACAGGGTATTCAACATATATATCCGCGCAAATAATAAAAGTCAATGGAAAATCAACGGTTTTCCCGCAACTTTGTCGTCACTGATTGTGAAGCAGGGGTTGAACTCATCATTTGGCCAAGCTGATCATGGATACCCGAGTAGGGCTCCATGCACAGCTTGTGATATAGCGGAAGATAGAGTGCGAGCCAGGGCTCAAGATAGGCGACGCAAGCGTGATTCGCCGGATTCTCGGGACGAAAGACGGAAAAGGATTTGTAACTAGCGTGTGGTATTATTTGTCAATTTATATATCTTGCGTCAGTTTCCCTTTGTTCCGATAATAAAAACCTTTCAAACCGTAACACACTTGAGTTAACGGCAATACGCTTTACACCATGGCCCCTAGTCGCTTTGATCCACACAGAAAAGACCGAGCGAGATATAATAAGAGAACACGCACACTGTTATCCAAGGCAGATGAGCTGGCGAAGCTCTGCAATGCTGATGTTTATCTGATCATGAGTCATCCACGTGGCACAACAGTTTACAACTCAACCGGGAACCCTAATTGGCCTCCACCAGATTCAGCTCTCGTGCGTACTCCCCCTTCGTTCCTATAGTAACACCTTGATTGATCAGCGTATAGGAGACTCACAGTCCGGGCCTAAAACGAGAATCCCAGGCTAGTATGACTGGTCCTTTGACTGACCCTGTTGTCGAAGAGTTGAAACGGCTCTGTGGATACTTTGCCTTACGGGAAAAGCTTTTGAAAGAGATATCGACTGAGGAATCCATGTAAAATCACCCAGGGCACGCAAGACAATGGTGTGATCTACGAGCCATTTTTGGCTCGCTTTTTCTTGGCAGATGACAGTATATGTACAGCAATTAACATATCTTTTCAAACCCGCACCCTTCCATAATTTAACCAAAATGCTCTCAATCAGTTATATGAGGTCGACCGAAGGGATATATTCCATCACCATCGGAATCATCATTGTATCTCTCATTCTCTATCATCTTGCCCGAAACGTCTTTTATATTCTATCATCCAAGTTTCAACACTTCTTCCTAGTCCATGTGATCTATGGACGCGGTCTGCGGTCGATTTCGAGGCTTCAGGTGGCTATCGCAATTCTATACGTTGCTGGAAATGCTACATGTAATCTGGTTGGAATTCACTCAATATCCGACGCGAGTAAGCGAGCTGCAAGATTGTCACTCATTAATCTGATGCCAATGTTTATGGGTGGAGGCCATGAATATGGAGCTCGTCTTCTGGGAACCTCCCTTAGGAATTATGGTACTATTCACCAAATGTTCGGATATGTTGCCTTTGCGCAAGGCCTCGTTCACACAATAATAGTGGCGCGGACACAGATTATATCGTGGTCAAACGGACCCCATTTTTACGGCCTGTTGGTAAGCTGGGTGTGTTGATGTGTATATTCTAGGTATAAAACTTACTCTGACATTTAGGCCGGAAGTTTGCTCCTTTCTTTGATCGTTTTGCCGTTCTTCAAAAAGAGAATATACGAATTATTTCTTATGAGTCATTTAGCATGTGCAATTGCTCTCATATTCACGATTTGGAAACATACCCGGGCTATGCCTGGAAAGTCCTGGGCCTACGCCCTGGGATACTTGTGTACTTTCTCAGTCATAGGGCTTCTACAGGGTATTCGGATCTTGTACAGAAACTTCGTTATTGGCAAGAGCTCGGTACGACTTCGTCTTCATATGTATAAGGGAGATGTTGCCCGTATGACTCTATCGTTGCCCCGGCCTTGGACCGTGCGTGCTGGTGAGCGGATTAGTCTGGGAATCCCGTATGTCGGGATTTTCTATCTATTTCAGTCCCACCCGTTTACTATTACCTGGTGGGAAAGTGATAGTAAGGGCCGCGCAGTTTCTATTTCTGTCTTGTTTCGCCCTCGGTCTGGGTTTACGAGAAAGGCAATAGAGCGCATCGTGCCAGAGCAGGAGTGTGGAGCCTGGATTGATGGTCCATTTGGTCCTTCGTCAGTTCACACTATCGGGTGGTCCGGTACTGTTGGTGATTATGGTCATGTGTTCATGGTTGCGACGGGAATCGGAATTGCTGCTCAACTGCCATATCTGAAGGAACTTCTAGACGGCCATGACAATGCCCAGGTTCGGACTCAGAAAATATCTCTTGTCTGGCAAGTTGACCGTGAAGGGGATTGGGAAAGTGCGCGGGACTGGCTGCAAAGCCTTGTAGCACAGGATAATGGCTATGTAAGTATCGAGCTATCCACATTTATTCCCATTTGCTCCGCTAAATCAGCTGCAGATGCTACACGTCACAGTATACGATCAAATGCAGCCACAGTCAGAAATTCCGGTCCGACATATCGGGAAGAATAATCTCATTAATATCTATGGAGGTACAGTCGACTGGGAAGAACAGCTAGACTCAGAGGTGAAGAATCAATTGGGTAGTCTGCTTGTGATTGGTATAGATCTCATTTCTGTCGTGAATATAATCAGATCTAATACCTCTGCAGTTTCCGCACAGTATCACATCCAGCAAAAGATGAGACAATTAGTCCGAGCTCGTGTCTACCATGGGATTGAGGTTTTCGAACAGGAGTTTCAGCCATGGAGCGAAACGGGAAGCTTGCGAGCGTTCTTGACCCCTTAGAAGGCTCCCATCAATCTCAACTCTGCAAATAAGTCACTTTGTTTGTTATACTTATACAGAAGGCAAATAGGGCGATGGGAAGACCGAAAAAGCCTAGGCAAATAAATGCACGGCAAGAGGAAATATGGGTTGATAGCTAGTCTAGTTAAGGTAGTTCGTATAATACAATCTTCTGTTTGTAACTCTTGAATTAATGGGCAAAGTTAGTCGGTCTCTCTTTCAGCAGTTTTAGGATTTCCAATGGTTTCTTATCTCTAAAAATAAACTAGGTATGAGTACAGTCATGTTCGAAATCAGCTTTAACTCCACACTCTCTCGCTCTGTTCCAAGAGCCCCATTTAGAATGCACTAGTCCGGATTAGGATGACGCTCCGCTCAAATCATATGTATCTACCAATGTGAATTTGTTGAGTCACGCCAATTTACGGTAACGCTGAATGCGATAGCGGTCGCCACTATAGCGAATTGCGCTGATACATGAGGTTTTGAGCTACATAGTGGCCTTCAAACACATGGTAATTTATTTTCAATAAAGTAACAAGTGCTGTGACTTTAACTAAGTTCTGGTTGATTCATCGTGCCGTTTTAGTGTCCGCGCTATTGATCAGATAAAAGGAATGAACAATTTTCTCTCGAAAGGGCATTATAGAAAATCCAAGTCCTCCTACTTTCCACAATATGACATCCCGTAATGATTTCCATCAGACTCGCTACATACGGATGGTTATTGATTCAGATCAGTTACCATGGGAATATAATATTCTTGCCAGTTTAGCACACTGGATGTTGCTTGCGGGATATCTGGTCATTCCCGGAACATTTACATCATTGCAGAAGTCAGATGCACTGAAACAAGGACTGATAAAAGACAAAACTGGGGAGGCTATTCTGAACACTATACAGAATCCACCGCTACTAGCTACAGCTAGTGTCTTCTTCCTGATTGGTTGTGCTATCATGTCATGGCTATATTGGCGATTCCAACACAATTACATTTGGCTTGTCAACAGGTTATTCATGTGGGTATTTACATTATATATATGCCAATCAAGCAGTGCTAACGATTATCTACTACAAGTCCAACTCTACTTAATGCCCTGGCGGGGCTTTTGACAACAATCATCAACATATACACTGCAAAAAACGGCGATTGGTCAATCATGGCGCTTTTGACCTTCATAGCTTCAAGCCTGTCCATGGCCTCCTCTGTTATTCTTATATACATCTATAAGTTTAGAAAGCTTAAGATGGTAATAGAGGAGCATCTTCGTGAGGTTGAATTTCAGACTAACAGGGTTAATCCATGATATCAATGGGGTAGAATAAGCGAAATTATTGAGGCTACGTATACCGTAGTTTTCGAAATCAGCTATACCACTTCCATACTCTTACTTCTTGATTCGGAGAAATTAATTCCGATATGTGCTAGGCCGATTTAGCCTACCGCCTAATGATTCTAGCAGAGCTGTCATCGTATTGATTGTTTTATTATCAATGAGTTACCGTTATATTATCGTAATGCTATATAGAACCATTGATCAGGCAATCTGGCAAGATAGCCAGCTGGCCCACTTCGATGCCCAATCAATAGTAGTAAACGCCCGTCTCGCTCTCTTCTTACGAGGCCTGTACTTTTTGCTCATCATCGCTGTCAGTTACACAATTCACCAACCATGGTGAACAGAGGGGAGGTTTTGCCCAAATAAACGGTGAAGTCTTGGTATTTGCCAGTCCTCGAGCGGACTATCTTATAATGCGAAGTCCGCTTCGCCGCCTGAATTGTGGCTGGTGTACCAAAGGGGTACTGTAAACTGTTTTTGGAAATCACTGTGCTTATTCTGATTGCAACGATTCGAATTGCTAAGAAGATATACGTGACATATTAGCAAAATATCTAACATGCTTCGTGGTTATGGGATGTAGCTCAAGAGATATGTCTTTAGCAGGTACGATTGACGGGATAATGAAGGCTTTGGAGTCACTCCTTCTATCATTGCACCATAGAAAGAGTTTATCTCTTGACAATATGATGGACTACTTTGTTATAGGAGGGCTCTGGTCTACTATGGCCCAGGCTCTCGACACATTTGCCAGCTTTGGGTTTTCCATAGCTTGACTTTGCTAGGAGCCACGTTTCTTAGATGCTAATATTACTTTCTTGTAAACACTTTCTTGTAAACACTTTCTTGTAAACAAACGCTTCGACGAGGAAAGATTTCATTCATGCAACCGGCTTACTCCTAGTAAAATACGTTCGAGTTTAGCTCTGATCTTTCCCCGCTGATAGGGTCTTTAAAAGTGGCAGCCCGAAGGGGCTTCACCCTATGTAGGATAAGCCTAGTCTCTTGGAGAAGGTCAGCTCCGAAAGAGGGGTAGGCGTGAATCTCTTCGCTGAACTTGGGGTTGGCACTTCGAAGGAAGCCTTCAACGGATGCCGCAGCCACAACACTTCGCACTGGATGCTCTCGAGGCAACAATATTGCTGAAGCAATATGATTATGTGTGAGATAATAAGTGTTGCTATCAACATGTCGCCAACAACTATTGTTCTGTGGATGAGGGTTATGTTTCAAGATGTTCTTGATATATTCGGCCATTATCGTTTCCAAACCAACAATATCGTACTTGTCTGCGAGCCTTGCGAGCTCCATAGCGGCCGAAATATGCTCTCCTGGGTCTTCTATCCCAAATCTGACAGTGCGTTGGTAGAGCCATTGAACGAGTGCTTCAAGGCTACGCGTTGAGACATCGTCCTCAGTCTCTTCTAGAGTGGCTGTCTGCTGTTGTGACTCAAGAAATTCACCGTTAAACATTTTGGAGAAGACCGGCGATTCCGCGCAGAGAAGGCTTTTGGAAATTATATATTCTTGATTGCTAGGCTGTATTCGAAGTTTGACGGAAGGGCCTTGATAGAGGGGAAGGATACTAGAGAGCAAAGTGGTTAGATAAATACTTCTTAAAGACATCTCAGGCACTTACTTGGCTACAAAGTGCTTAGCACTTGCCTCGGATGCGTTGGTCATTGTTTTGGAACGGAGGCAGCAAGCACTAGACAGGCCAATGCTGAGAATATCGTATCACCTCATATATATATGTAACCTAGAGCGTGCAATAATGCTGTGGCAGGCAGAAAGAGGGAACAGAGCAAGGCGTACAGTGCGTCCCGAAACTGGCGCAACCAGCTACACTATTCAATCTTATTCAATCTCCTTTCCTCTCTGTTGTGCCAAGACACACTACACTAGTCTATATTTGGATTTCCTCCGGAGTCTCCTGTACGGGCGCTTGTATTGATTCATTCGTAAAATACACAGCATTACAGATGTGCTTTAGCTTGTAAATTCAATACGTCTGGCACCTCCCTTTTTTCTGTGGACAAACAAGTACGCATCAAAGATTCAGCAAACTTTACTCACATCGTACGTCGGAAAATGATGCCTGGTGCTTACCGATAAAAATACCAGCCAGTTGGGTCTTGTAGCACATATCTGGGTGCCTAAAATCAGAAGCAGCGAGCCATAGAAGTTTGCACGTAACGTCTCAACGTCGCAAACAAAACAACCGCCGAACTGGCGAAGTGCCCCTACTTCCCGCTCTCTTTCTTTTTATCTCCCCTACGACGGTTTGATCTTTTCCGGGAGACATTATGGGCCACTACGTCGGAATATCTAGCTATGAGAGTTTCACTGCTACTACTACCATGATACTGTTGTGGATGCTATTAGAAATCGGCCGGCCGACTTGCACTTTGCTATTCGAACCAATATATATTTTCTGACTAGTCTCGGACTGACTCCGGCTTCTTTGTACCTTGTCTAGCCTGCTTTGGGCTTGGACAGTGACGATCCCCCGTGCCGCATGGCAAAAGAAGCAAAAATGATCAGCTGGGTGCTCAAGGGGAAGTGCTCGAGGTGAGCCTAGTGCGAATCGGAAGTCTTCAAAATCAGTTGGGGCTGATTTCTTTGTTTGCTATCGTTCCACACCTGCGAGATGGAATCCATGGGCCACTCCATAGCAAATGCGCCACCAGCAGAGTTTCTTTGTTTGACAAACATTTCGGCAAGAAAGGAAACGATTCTATCGTAGAAAGGCAAGAACCATAAAATTCAGTAAATCCCCCTTCCTTGTCCTCCCTGATCATCCTCCTTTTCATTCATGCTTTCATTTATTCACAGAAACCGAAAATGTCAGAAGATAAGGGCTTTCGCGTACTGCTACCTGCCCGAGGAGAAATTCCTATTGGATCGCAAATCAACTTAGATCAAGAGAAAAAGAGGAAGGTCTCTCTAGCTTGTGGGGAATGTCGAAAGAAGCGAGTCAAGGTTCGAACGCGACGCCAACTCTCCTAGGTATATAGCTAAGAATTTTCAGTGTTCTGGGGAAATACCCTGCACCCAATGCATAGAAAAGAATCGCAATTGTGTTTTCGACCCTCTTTCCGATCGCCGACGCCGAAGCCATCTTCTTGAGCTGTCTCAGCTTAATCAAGTCCTTCAAAGCACAGTAGCTCAACTACGACATGCAAATCCCGACGATATCAGGTCATTCTTACTCACAATACGCAGTTTCGAAACGGACAATGAAGCAATTTTATACCTCATACAGAGGAATGAACGGAGCTGTGTTTTAAGGTGGTCCACTTAAGCATATTGTTTTGAGAGTGAATTCATGTAGACGAAAATTATGTATACCATATGGGAGAATCCTCATGATCTTTATAAAAGAGTGCTGGAATATGAGACTCCTAGAGTCGCAGTATAATGCGATCTAGAAGAAAGCGACTCAAAATTCAATTTCTCTAACGCAAAGCCTACAGGGAGGATCGAAATCAGTTTCACCACCTGCACACACAGTCTTTTTCGAACCCTCCTTCTAAACACGCTAATCTTGTTCCTGCTTAGCCTCGTTTCAAATGCCGATATGTATTGAAAGCTCGTATTATTTGTGTTTCGGTTTTGTAAGTTGCGTGAAAGATACACCTGACCCCGCCAACTCTGCCCCCATGTGGTGCACTCTCCCTTCTTGCATCAGCCAGCTCCGTCCCTACATTTGGTAAGGACAGTTTCGAGTGATGTAGTCAATAATCTCGCTTCATGTACAGTCTTTCTCGAAATTGGCTTGACCGACACACACTCAATCACTCTTTTCTGGCCCCATTGCCAAGACCTTAGCGTAGATAATTAATTGGACGGGCCGCAGTAACTCTAAAATGCTATGTGTATGGTCTTGTATAGTGCTAGTAGAATTTCACAACGTGTAAGAGAATTGGATTGAACCCCATGGAAGTCGACGAGTTCGTAGACAAGCTAGGTGACTTCAGTTTTACAAAATTCCTCCTCAGCCTGTCCATATTCCCGTTGCCGCCGCCGCCTTGCTTGTGATACATGTACATGTACTATTACGCTTCAGAAGTCCTTATAAAGCATCGAAAAAGGATCTATGGGACTGATCAATTCTTCCCTTGCCTTGTTATTCGAAGGATCTGGAACTACACGAGCTGCCATAGAAATACAATATGGCAAGGGTATGTGGCAGCGACTGCTGTGGACTTGCCGAAGAGTTACTTCAGACAGTGCAGACTACTCAATATACAGTAGTATGCGCAATCAGATTTACCAATAGACTCTTAGACTTTCATTCCGAATCGGGCTTCAAAATCTTCCAGGAGGATCCCACATCGTTTTAAAGAAAGAAAAATGCTCATTCTATGACGAAATACCACTCGATACACCGAATAATGTCAAACTGCTCTGTCGTCCATTCTCATGATCAGAACATTCATACATACTGGTCAGTCACTCTGAAACCCCCAGTCAGTCAGTGTCTCCAAGAAATAGCATTTTTCTAGTCCAGGCCCCCGATCACCCGACTGGAAAAATCTTGGATTCACTTCGAAACCGACGAAAGTCATGTGCAGAGTCAAAAATTTTTGCTTTTTCTGCGTGCATATGGGCGGTGAAATAGCAGAGCCAATGGGGTGGCTTCGCTGGGAGGGCTGAAGTCGGGCAGGACATGCCCCGCAGCTCTCAAAACATCTGACCCTAGAAGGCTCGCGATATTCGGCTTGAAGCAAATTATTGAGTCGTACAGATATGGCTGGGAACATAAACTTTGGGGATCGAAATTCATCGCTGCAGGTTGGAAACAACTACGGGACCATAACTACAGCAAACTCGCCTGAAGGGTCCGATCATCGAACCCACCGTGACAAGGCGCTTGCATCCTTGAAATTCAAAGAAATCGATTCACGGAAGTTAGAAATCACAACATCCCTAAAGGAAACATGTGAATGGCTTCTAGGCCACGAGGAATACAAAACCTGGCTCGACGAGGAGGAATTACCTCAACACCATGGATTCTTCTGGATCAGTGGGAAGCCTGGTGCTGGAAAGTCCACTATCATGAAATTTGCATACTTGGATATGAAGAGGCGATGCCAGATCAATAACAAAAGTGGGCATCATGATAATCCTGTCACTGCTTCATTTTTCTTCAACGCCCGTGGCGAGGACTTGGAGAAATCCGTCCATGGGCTATATCGGTCTTTGCTCATCCAACTACTTCAAGGGTTTCCTGACCTCCAGGTGGTACTAGATGATAAAGATCTCATCCCTCCGGTAGCCCAAGATGAATCTATTAGGTGTCCTCCTCTGAATGCGTTAAAGGATCTACTCCATAATGCCATTATTCTTCTCGGTAAACGCGCCCTTACTTGTTTCATTGATGCACTTGATGAATGCGACGAGAATGATATAGCCGATATGGTTGATCATTTCGAGGATCTCACAGAGCAAGCCCTCAGCCAGAATAGCTCCTTTCGGATTTGCTTTTCCAGTCGGCATTACCCACATATTACTCTAAATTACGGCATACGGTTAACACTTGAGAGTCAGCCAGGTCATTTCAGAGACCTAGAGTTCTACGTTTCGACCCGAATGAAGATCAGCGATGCTGATCTTCATCAAATGCTAAAGTCAAGGCTGTTAGATAAAGCTGCTGGTGTTTTTCTATGGGTTGTGCTGGTTGTCCGCATCCTCAACAAGGAATACCGTCGTTCCGGCTTCAACTTGAAACGGAGACTAGAAGAACTGCCAAGCGACTTGAGTCAATTGTTCAAAGCTATCTTGCTTCGAGACACTGAGAATCCAGAAGATCTCTTGCTTTGTATCTTATGGATACTTTATGCAAAGCGCCCTTTAAGACCCGAGGAATTCTACCATGCTTTGTGGTCCGGCTTGGCTATGAAGCAACATAATCTGGTAGACGAAGCGCTTCCTGAGTTGTTGTCTTCATCGTCGGATACCTCTGATTCAATCGTCCTCAGCTCTGAAGAACCTGATAAGGTTACGATATATGTCATCAGTTCTTCGAAGGGTCTTGCTGAGGTAACGAGGCCTGTCCAGTCGACGAAAAAGAGAACCGCATATGGCCGGATTTCGTGGTCAATGCATGGGGATTCTCAGCAAAATGAGAATGACAGTGATCATGGCAGGAGAGTTCAGTTTATCCACGAGTCTGTTCGAGACTTCCTTATTAAAGATAAAGGACTAAGCGATCTGTGGCCTGATCTCAATCTAAGTGACGAGGCCATGGCTCATGACGTGCTCAAACAATGTTGCAGGTTCTACATGGATCATGATCAAAAGAAGACATGGCCTGGTGAGCCAGATCCGAGACTGGGCTTGAAATCCGATATTGGTCAGACCCAAAAAAAATCCCTGGCTTAGGTCAAAAGCCAGTTTGAACAAGGGAATAGACACGATCCCACGAGGATACGTATTCCTAGATTATGCAACTGAACATGTTCTATCTCATGCAGAGGGTGCAGCGAAATTGGTACTACAAGACGATTTCTTATCTTCGTTTCCTCTTCTTTATTGGAAAGAAACCAGAGCCTTCTATCACGGAGGTCGGGGCGCTAAGTCTTTGCCCATTGGCCTGAAGGATGGTCTTTTTCACATATTCGCTACGTATGGACTCTCTGAGCTCATTCGAACAAGGCGCAGGAGAGATATTAATGTTCATGCTTTGGGGGGAACATCAAGCACCCACTTTTCGCGGCTCTCAGCAAGGGCTATATCGATACAGTCGCTGCCCTTCTGAATCTTCCCAGCTGCATATATAAAGGAGTAGATATTCTACGCCAGAAAGTCTCCAGGTTTCCTATCAATTCCTTCTCGGCCAGAGAAGAGCTCATGACAGGAACGCCACTTTCTTGGGCTGCCAGATGTGGTAGATTCGAAATTGTCGAGCTGCTACTTTCGGACAAAACAGTGCCTGTCAATGATGACCAGGAAGGAGGCAAACCCGCACTCGTAGAAGCCAGCAGAAGTGGCCATAAAGATATTGCGAGACTTCTTGTGGAAAGTGGAGCAGACGTCAACCATCATTACCCACTAACACATGCCTCTCGAAATGGCCATGGGGATATGGTGAAATTTCTTTTAGAAAAGGGAGCAGATATTCATCACGGATCTCCGCTGGCGGGAGCTGCTTCGCGGGGCCACGAGGCAATTCTGAGACTTTTGATCAACAATGGCGCCAATGTGGATAAGGGCTGTCCGCTAAGACTTGCGTCCATTGGAGGCCATGAAACTGTGGTGGAAATACTCATCGAAAGTGGCGCAGATATAAATAAAGGACATCCACTGGCAGAGGCTTCTAAAAGAGGCCATGAAGCTATTGTCAACCTACTTCTCAGCAGAGGAGCTGATGCGAACGCTCAGGATCAAGCCGGTGTTACTCCACTATTGTATGCATCTGAAAAGAATCATGGAGCTGTCGTGAAGCTTTTGATCGACTATGGAGCAGATGTCGACCGCGAAGATAACTTTGGTGCCACACCGCGCCGAATGATGAGTTTGAACGCAGCGACGACAGCCAGCATTGCACCATGGAGCCGTGGACGCAAGAAACTTTTTCATTGACTTTTGTTTGTGGAGCGAGCTCACCGTGTCATCTTTTTATACAACTACCAGAGAATAAAAGATAATTCATCATACTGATGGCAAAATATCAAGTGCATTAATATTCTAGGAAGAACCCCAATTCCAATAGAACTTTCTTGTATTTACCGACCGTCGCCGAGTCTCTCTCCAAAGCAGGTAGCTGGCCCTCAAAGTTACCTAGCTAAGGTATAATATTTTGGTAAGATAAAATACTAATCAGGAGTGCCTGGTAGTGCTGTCGGCTCGCATTATTTGTGCAAATGTGCAGACTTACTCTAAGTTTTCATGGAATTCCACGAACATTTCGTATATCTTAAGGAAATTTACTAGTGCTTTACAATACTATATAGATATCGTTTTACAGCGGCCGTCAACTTACTACGGCACGCCCACTTAATTGTCTACGCTAAGGTCTTGGCAGTGGGGCCAGAAAAAAGTGATTGAGTGTATATCGGTCAAGCCGATTTCGAGAATGACTGTATAGTAAGGTGATCAGCAACAAAATAATACTTCCTAGAAGTTCAAACTCAAGGCAGAAATTGGCCCTGGAGCTTAGGATATACGACAATATAACTTATCTACAAAACGATATTGAACCTGTCCTTTTCCTACACAAGGAATGTTCGAGAAGGGGACAAGCACGGTATGCGAATAGTGTAATTCAAGTCTTTCTCTCTGCCTAGTTAAACAGCTTCGAAACAGATTAATGGCTATAGCAGTATGACCGGAAGATTTCCAAGTGAAAGCGGATAGGCCTCAATGAGTTCGGTTTTTTTGAATTCAATCGCCTGTATCCAGAGCTTAGCGTCTTTCCACCGGCCCTGTATCAAATTAGCCGACGCCGAATTGTTTGAAGATATTACATATAATCAAACCCGTTTTACCTAACATTTCCTTAGGTGGACTAAAAATCTTCCCGACGGTGTTTGACTATCATATGAATAGAGGGCAATAGCAAATTCGAGCTTCTTTGTGAATCCTAGCGGGACTATCCTTCAATTGACATATGGGATTCCAAGATAATCTATTTTGAGACTAATAGGGACTATTGCCCGGAAATAGAAATATTCGGGGATTCTTATTATCTGAGTAGACCGACCCAAAGTCTGCGAGGTGATGAGAGTATAGCTGGACACTGGTAAAAGTGACTGAAGAAATTACAAAGTTTCATCGCAAGGTCCGGAGTCCTTGAGGGGAAATTTCTCCACCATGTTTGTCGGAGGCTCAGAGCAGGATTCCTGTGAAGAGGATGTAATAGCGCCTCTGATTTGAAGAAGGTGGACAATGCCTCGATGGCCTCACTGTGAGGCATCCTGGAGAGCGTTGCCATACTCGTCGCATTGCGCGTTGACATCTGCTCCCTTGTCTAACAGCAGGTTGACAGTGCCATGATTTCCTCTCTGTAAGGCAGCCCGGAGATCATTGCCATAAAAGCCGCCCTGTGCATTGATATCTGCTCCCTTGTCTAACAGTAGGTTGACAATGCCTTGATAGCCTCTCTGTAAGGCAGCCTGGAGAGCATTGCCATAAAAGCCGCCCTGCGCATTGATATCTGCTCCCTTGTCTAACAGTAGGTTGACAATGCCTTGATGGCCTCCATGTGAGGCAGTATAGAGAGCGTTGCCATAGAAGCCGACCTGCGCGTTGACATCTGCTCCCTTGTCTAACAGCAGGTTGACAATGCCATAATGGCCTCCCTGTGAGGCTGCCTGAAGAGCGTTGCTATACTGGCCGCCTTGCGCGTTAACATCTGCTCCATTGTCTAAGAGCAGGTTGACAATCTCCTGGAAGCCTCCCTCTGAGGCAGTATAGAGAGCATTGCCATAGAAGCCGCCCTGCGCATTGACATCTGCTCCCTTGTCTAAGAGCAGCTTGACAATGCTATGATGGCCTCCCTCTGAGGCAGTATAGAGAGCATTGCCATAGAAGCCGACCTGCGCGTTGACAACTGCTCCCTTGTCTAAGAGCAGCTTGACAATGCTATGATGGCCTCCCTGTAAGGCAGCCTGGAGAGCATTGCTATAGAAGCCGCCCTGCGCATTGACATCTGCTCCCTTGTCTAAGAGCAGGTTGACAATCTCCTGGAAGCCTCCCTCTGAGGCAGCATAGAGAGCGTTGCCATACTTGCCGCCTTGCGCGTTGACATCTGCTCCCTTGTCTAAGAGCAGGTTGACAATCTCCTGGAAGCCTCTCTGTGAGGCAGCCTGGAGAGCGTTGCCATACTCGCCGCCTTGCGCGTTGACATCTGCTCCCTTGTCAATAAGATCGCGTGCAGTCACTCTAAGCCCATTCAAGCATGCATAGTAGAGCCTAGAGCCTTGCGGAGCATCAGGGCTAGAGTTCCAACTCCTATCAGCCTGATACAAACAAGCCCATCGCTGGAATGTCGTTTCCTCTTCTAGGAAGCTGACTGTCATTCGAATGATTTCCTCGTAGGCCTGAGCCAACGCAGCATGACACGTCCAGAATTGGGCCGCATATCTTGCCAACGGAAAACACCGCTTCATCTTTCTTTCGGTACCGTTGATGTCCGTAAGATATGTCAAGCACGTCCTCGTAATGGAAATGCTGGCAGCTGTGACCTGGAACTGACCATGACCAAGAAGGTACTCTTTCACAGAAAAATGGGCAAGATGCAACTCTTTATAGTTGGCATGGACGACTGTCACTAAGCTGGGACAGTAAGCCAAGATATCAGTCTCGCAAAATAATCGACGTTTCATGTCAAACCCTCGCGATTCGCCTTGAATATGCGTTGCTATTACTTCTTTAACCTCGGCCAGCGCTAGAGGTCGCTTAGAATGGACTAGAAATTGTAGAACCCGTGTCGCGTCGTTTTTCAGCTCCGTCGGTATGCTTTCAAACATACGCTCGTATGTCTCATTGAGATTCAGCGGCAAAGATTTAAGAGCCTTCTCCATAGCTCTCTCGTGCGGACATCGAGCCAGGCTGTCTAATTGACAATATGCCCACCTAAACCTGTTTAAGGCGTCAGAAACCTATCAATATATTGATCGAAGCAGTAATATCTCACATCCCGTCACCGCCGTCGCCAACCTTTTTCCTGATCTCTTCCAGAAGGTTCTGGGACAAGGACTTTTCTGTAAAATCACGCCGTTGAGAAAGTTGTGCTGTGACCCACGATCGGATATCGGAGTTGACAGCTTGCTTATCAAGTGATAGGCAGTTTTGCTTTCCTATCAAGGGAGGAATGTCGCGCAGAAACTCGGATTCAGGTCGACCGGTAAGAAGCAGCTGGACATGGACCAACTCTGGCTTTGACACCATATCCTTGATCCATTCGAGCACAGCGTCCCTTGTTTTTGATTCGTCCAATGCATCCACAACAATAGAGACCTTTCTCTGGGCTACAAGCATCTTGAAAACAACACCCCAGAGCACCTTTGTCGTAGGTTGGTCGCTGCCATTTCGGTGTGTCTGGAACGAAGCATCAAGATGATTTGCAGAGTCCACCCCGCCGTCGTAAAGTTGGAAAGCAAGCGAGCGCAGCATGCCTTCCAATGTCTGTTTTGCGACGTCACTAAAGTCAAAGAAGAAGCTAAGGATAAGACTGTCGTCTCTCTTCGCGAGATGATCAAGCACAGTCGTACTAAGAACCGACTTTCCACATCCTGCGAGCCCGTGCAGCCATAACTGTCGACATGACCCCGAGTGCCACGCTTTGAAGACGGGACATTTGAGTAGCCACACGCCTGTACCCTCATGGCGGAGCATCCTGGCATGGCTGGCGTTTGAAGATAGATCCGGGGGACAAAGCCAGCGCTTGATCTTATCGGTATGAAGGCTAGATCTGATGGAATCAGTAGTGGCTCTTGTTGCAGCTGTTGTCTGCTGTACGCTATCGATCTGTAGTTGCACTACTCGCAGTCAGAATATATTTCTGAATTCATATGTTATTCGTTTCGGGTATTTGCTGGTATTTTAGACACCTGCAAATGATCTATTCAGGTAGGTATGTACTAACCCTTTTCCAATATAGCCTTTGCTGGATCCTCGGCATCAACAACACTGGGCTGCACACATCCCAAAAGTTCCTTTGCGTACGCAGCAGCCACGGCTGCCGCATATTCTTGCCAGGTTTTCTCTTTTCCCGAGTCCGCATAGTCACAAATGCCTCGGATAACAATACATGGGAAGTCATTCATGAGCCCAGCTGCCTCCATCTCCACGCATAGTAAGTGCCCACCGAATTCTTTGTCAAGGAGGTCTCGGGATTGGGCATCTTTAACCACTTTGTTCCCGGATGCGATCAGGCCATGGTGTATCCTGACTTCTCTTGGGGCTCTTGCGCTCTCTGCCTTCTCTGAAAAACGTACATTCTCCTCATTTACCGAATTAATGGCCCATGAACCAAGAGGATATGCGATAATTGCGATGATCGCCTGCCACAACCAAAACAGGAAGTACACTTCTCTCACAGTCCAAAACCTCTCAGATACCAATAAGGGGTCTTGCAAGCGCTCACACCTCGTATATTTTGGGGCTAGCCGCGGGAATTTCCTTTCCACATCATCCAGGTACTCATTTATCTGCGATCCGTACATCTCATGATTACTTTTCAGCTGGTTCGACGCATTGAGTAGCGCGTTCGGAGGTCGGTTTAGCGAGCCCGTGTTGACAAACCGCCCATCCCGTTCAAGCTTCCCCATATCCCATTGTATCACCCCGTGATAGTCAGCAACAGGTTGACTGACCACCACATCACCCAGATTGACCTTTGACGGAATTCCGCCCCCAATCCCTACCATAAGCCCGAACCTGATTGATTGGAACGTGTTTGTCATAGAGGTAGCGACGGTTGCGGCAGGGTTGGTCCCCATGTTGGGCAGGCAGGCTATGACGACGTTGTGGCCGCGTATGGAGCCAAGAGTATATGCGTTATGATCATTTCGAGGGGTCGGGAGAGGTTCATGCTCTTCATCTAGCATGGCTCTGGCTGCGGTTTGTTCTTTTGAGAG